TATGATTATAAGTCTAAAATGTCTTTCTTTTTTCTTTTTTTTTTTTATTGTTACATGGGTACGGGAACCAAAGGTCTAAAATTTCTGCTATAAACTTTAATCCTTTGAGGTTAGAGAAAATTTATTTGTTTCTACTGACTGACAATTCCTTTCTCTGATTACGTTTTTGTCATACATTTCCTTTTATGTAGTGTAGTAGTTAAAAGCATGGACTACCTATGATCTATCCTTGTTCCACCACCATCCAGCTGTGGCCTTGGATAAGCAATTTAATATTTCTTCTGGACCTCATTTTCTTCATTTGTAAAATGGGGATAATAATAGGACCCACCATCTTGGTTTGTTGCAAAGACAAATCTGGTTAATATATAAAAAGTGCTTAGGATAGTACTTGGCATATACTAATAAAAATAATAGTTATATAGATAAAGTATATGTATATGCATATATATACACACATGCAGATACAACTAATATATAATATTAGAGCAATGTATTGCAGTGTTTGGGAGCTATTTAGAGAAACATGACTTCCTTTCATCGATAGGCTGATATTAGTAGTAGATGTTTCCTTTTAACAAGAATGTACAGCTTGTTGGATCCTTTCTTCTGACTCTGCTCTCTTGTAGCCCTCTATAAAACATAGAGAAGTCACTAATAGGAAATCAGCCAAATCAAATTTCTGTTCACATTTAGACTGTAGCATTCAGTGTTCACTCTGTATTTGCACTGAGAGACTAAACAGCTTTTTTTCCCTGCTTTTTTGCATCTCCCCTGCTTGTTAGTGTGGAGTGTCTCTTCGTGAAGAACCAGTGAAACTCAAGCCTGCTGTTCAAGAAACCTCTTCAAGACTTTTGACATAGAACCTGCTATATTATCAAGCTTACCTACTGTTTTATCTAAAATGTTTATTTTATGTTAGTTAATGTAAAGTTCAATTGCTAGGAAATGTGCCTTTGTTTTTTAATACACACTCCACGTTAGAAGTACACACTCCACATGTTGCACAGTGCCTTTACAGATTTACATATGGGCTGATGAAGAGGACTTCTTACGTTCCAGAGTACTATAATCTAGATGTAATGTTGTCACTAATTAAATGCCATTGATCCCAGTTAAGGGAATTTGTGCCAAGTTAGTTATCCTTGTCATATGGCATTGCCTTCAGAACCACATTTTAAACCCCCGGGTAATTAAATTTCCAACTTGTGCCTTCCAGAAAGAACACTACTGCCTAACAGAAAGAACACTACTGCCTAATGCAAATCTGAGACAGTAACAGGCTGTGCCTTATTTTGATATTTTTCTGATTCCCTTTAAGAGAATCCTCTGTGTTTTTGTAAGCACTACTGACTTTTTCGCTATACTTAAAATAAGATGCTGGTAAAGAGTTTTTGCTCTTACATTAGATATGAAGATGTTTACTTTCTTACTGTTTTGTATCACTTGCTAAAAATATTATTGTAATCCGAAACAATAACCCTTTTAAAAAGTTTTTTAGAGCTATGGCTATGACCAAAGTTTCAATTTTGCCAAAAAGTTAAATACTGATAAAATATCGTTAAGTCTGTTCCCAACAGATAAATTCAGAAAAGTGCCAAATGGAACTCAAGGTGCCTTTCAGAATTAAAATTGTAATATTGTGTGTGAACTTTCTACATCTTGACAGATCTTTCTTGCCTTTGAAATGTCGTAAATGATGCAATTCACCTTCTGATTCATCATTTTTCATGAGGGAATAGAGAATGTTTGAGCTAGACTCTGACTGCCTCATAGCTACAGACAAAGAGTTTTACCCAGCAGTTTGAATATTATCAGCTGTAGACTCCAGTGTGTTTCTAGTAATTATGTGAGCAACAATTTTGTAGCCTTTTAAGTAAGATCGTCTGTGAACTTGATCATTATCTGGCCCAGTCCTCATTGACTATAGCTTTTTGGAGTTTGTTTCCTATTTTTACTCATATTCTACTTCCTAAATCAGTCTTCTAAATTATGCTTGCAATTAGGCATTGGTCAGGGGAGGATGACATTTTTCCACAGCGGATAGCTAACCAGAGACATTTTCTTCCTTCAATGTCATAAACTGTCCACACAGGATGCTGCTTTGGAAATAGGTGTTGTCATCTGAGAGAGTTTGTCTACATGAGACTTTCAACATCAGGGTACTGGCTTAAAGATGGGAGCACAGGTATGAATGAAAACAGGCAAGGAGGCACTGAGGGAGAAACACAGACTTTACTCCTCTGTGGCCCACTGTCAGTAGAAAGTTCTAAAATTCTTGTTCACATGCTATTACAAAGCAACAATAGCTTAGGTGCACCAGGACACGGGTTCTAGTTCTCTGGTCTCTGTTCCCCTGACATCACTGAAATGATTTAACATTGAAGATGTGCCTTGCAGTATGCCTAGCTGTGAGGAGAAAGCAGCTGTCAGTGTCGGGACATTAGCCCACCCTCAGCACAGGGTCTCTGGCCAAGTCTGACTCTGAAACCTTGGTGCTCTCTCCTTGGCCTCAATGCTCAGTCCCACGTAACCCACTGGCTCCTGCATTAACCCAGGAATACCTCGCTTATATATGTGCATTTAGCTGGGAACTTGCCCACTATAATGACCTGAATAAAGTGTTTATAAACATGATTCTGGCTCCTGTGTTTCTTGTAGAGGAATAGTTGTGCCTGGTCCAAGTCCTAAAAATGTCATTCCTTGCTGCTTCCCCTACCTTTCCCTTATAAGCCCCCAAACTACACTTTCTCTTCTCTCTCTCTAGTCCCCTCTCTGGGTATTCCATTTTCTAGTACCCAGCACTTCCCCATACCCAAGTGGATAGAAGCAAAACACTCCCTTTGTGAAAAGTGCTTTGCAGTGTAGGAGATGAACAGGAAACTGGCTTTCACATGATCACGAAAATGCTTAGGATTTGGCTTTTGACTTTCTTAAATGTATAGTCTTTTGAAAGTGATGTGCAGAACTGGCCGGATGTGTGGTAGACTAGATAGATGCTGACATGGGATAGATAAGTTTGGATGGGTGAGGAACAGTCTCCAAACACATGGCTCTCGTTTTGATTCTATATATCTTTTTTCCCCATAAATATACTCCCACTCTTACACTGTGACCCCTTGGAAACAATATAATATGGGAGGAAGTAGACTTTTGTGTGTATAACAGAAAAATCCAAACCCCTTTCCCTAATTACAAGCTCCATGGTGATATTGCCCTTCCTAACTTTGACTTCATCTCACCCCACTCTCCTACCCTCTCTGTCTCCAGGCAGAGACTTTCAACATCAGGGTATGTTGCTTAAAGATCAGTGTTCAAGTATGAATGAAACAGGCAAGGAAGCGTGGAGGGAGAAACAGACCAGAACTAAGTTTGTTTCCTTTTCTCAGCAACAAACTTTCTTCTCTTCGGGGCCACTGCAGGTGCTGTTCTGCTCTGTTGGGCCCATTTCCCCACTCGTGGCAGGCTCCTCTCATCACTCAAGGTTTAACTTTGCCTTCTCAAGGGCCTTCCCTGGTCACCTGGCTAATGCCACTCTTGCCTCCTTCACCCTAGACATCTCTGTCCCAGTCACACTTGATCTCATTAGCTTGTTTCGTATTCTACGCAGCACATTAGACTTTCTGAATTTACTTTATGGGGTCGTTTGCATGTCTTTCATAAAATTTAGACTCCCTGAGTGGCAGGGACTTTTATCCACCATTCTATCCCCAGGTATTACAATCATCTGTGCTCAGATACTCACTCAAATATTTGCTGAATGAATGCAATTTGACAGAACAGCTTTGGAGGCAAGAGATGCAATCTGGACTATGAATAAGTTGGTTTTATCCAGTACAGAACATGAACAATCGCCCACTTGACTTTCCCCCTCTTCCGTTACGTGCAATTCCTTTCATTTACGCAACAAATATTGAGTATTTTTGATGTACCAGGCAGCACAGAGAGGCAGAGCTCTGCACTGTACCTTTCACTTCCTACGAGGTGAGATACGATCTCAAATGAGCTTTCAGACTGGTGGTTATTTTTCCTTTTCTGAAACGGAGTACCTTTTACATACACTTGTCTTCGTCCAGTTGCCAAATGAATCTGTAATTTTAGGAACAGAGAAGTGTTTAAATACCGCCGTCAAAATTCCGTGTCTGAAAGTCGAGTTGGATTCAATACAGCCCGGCTCCTCCAAGCCCGCTCCTTGGTCAGAGGGCAAGAAGGTTAGTAGAGATAAAAACGACAGGAACCCAAGTACACGCCCAGAGCACTTCTAGGTCCAGCGCCGCCTTCCGCTTGCCCGCTCCCGCCAGGGCGCTTCCCCAGTCAGCCGGGCAGCCAGAGCCACCTGCTGCCTCGGGAGCGCCCGTCCCCCGCCCCGCCCCCTCTCGCCTCGCCCCGCCCCCTGCCCGGCCCCCTGCCTCTCACGTGGAGCCGCGCCCGCCCCGCCTCCGGGGTCCCGCCCCCTCGTGACTGGCAGCTCCGGCGCCCCGTCTCTGCGGCTCTGGCTCCAGCGGCCCCTCCCCAAGCGCCGCGCACGAGACCGGGCACTCGACTCGCGCGGCCTGGGCAGGCGCCTCCTCAAGGCCGCCCGCCCCTGCCCACACGCCGCCTGCCGGGATTGGCCCGGAGCTGTCCTCGGCCCGACCCGCGCGTTATGTAACGTGCTCCGGGGTCCTCGCCCCCGCCCCGTCGCCTTGGGTTATGTAACCCGGGGCGCCCCAGCTCGGGCCCCGCCCTGGGGCCAATGGGGCCCGCCGAGCCCGCCGGGCGGCCAATCGCGCGGCGGGGCGGGCCGGGGTCACGCGGCGCGTGGGGGCGCGGCGCGGCGGCCGCCCGGCACCGGCTGGCCTCGGGACTGCGCGCGCGCGCCCGGCGGGCGAGCGGCTGCGCGCGGGGCCGCGAGCGGCGGTGGCCGGTGGGTGCGGGGCGTGGGCGGGAGGCCTGGGGACCACGCGCGGCCCGGGGCGCCCCGAGCCCTGCCCTCCGCTCGGAATCCCCCGGAACGTGGCGCTGCCGAGCTGCCCCCTCGCCCGGGCTCCGTTTGCCGGCGCACGCCGACTTTCCTCAGCTGGCGGGGGCAAAGTTGTGTCCCGCGTGAGGGCCCGCGCGCCGGGGAGCCGCAGCCAGTCCGGTTTCGGGCGTGGAGTTGTCCGTTTCACTCGCCTCTTGTCCCCTTTGTCTCCTCTCCCCAGGCCGGACTCCCAGGAGCGGAGAAATCTCAGAACATTTCACGGAAATGCCGGGGAGAAGAGCCCCGCTAGGATGAACGTAGGCCAGTAATTGCTGGCTTGTGCTGGCTGCTCATTCTCCAAGGGGATGGTATGGACCAAAATGAGGAATCCGTGTCTGTCGCTGATTGCACAGTGAGAGAGAAGCCAGCCGCGGACTGAGGCCGCCCGGCAGGACATGGACCCCTGTGAAGATCTGGAGATGCCCGGCGGGAAGGCTCCTGACCCCCGGCGACTGGAGGCCCACGAAGAGGCTCTGTGTGGAGAGTCTGAGATGTGGAGCCCCAAGTTCCAGCTGCAGAGGAAATACGTGGAGAGCAGCAACAGGTGACGCTCTGGCTTCATTTCCACAACCCAGGGTGTTTGTTGTCCTTCACTGGAGCAGGAAAAGGAGGATTTGAGTCTTTTCCTTCTTTTACTTTCAAGGCCAGGAAAAAGTGCAGGGGGAAACTCAGGCAACTTAGGATGAAATGATCTGAGACACTGAAGAAAATCACCAGAGAGTACCAGAAGGAGATGAAAAGTGGTTAACGTTAGCTGAGTTGGGGTTCAAGTGGGAAGAAGAGAAAGAGGGAAATGTATCAATTTCTTTGCCTTGGGCTCCCTACTTGTAAGAAAAGAAATCATAAACTTGCCAACTAAATGAATTGATGCACAATAGAGCGCTTAGAAAGTTGCCTGGCGTGAAGGTGCAGTTTACATTCCGTAAATGTTGGCTGTAATTGTCATTGCTGTTGTGATTTTAGAACTTTTTACCTTCCAGTGAACAGCAAGATCGAAACAGAGTTTCTGAAGAACTTATAATGGTTGTCCAAGAAATGAAGAAATATTTCCCATCAGAGAGACACAGTAAGCCAAGCACTCTAGATGCCCTCAACTACGCCCTTCGCTGTGTACACAGTGTGCAAGGTAAATGAGCTGGAGAAAAATCCGATCCTACAAGTGCACTAGTAGTCACATGCGACAGAGGAGTGGTCAGCAGGGTTTTAGTCACAGAAATACTTTGAGCTTTTTATGGTGCTTTATGTAAGATGAGCAGATCTATGCTGATTCCATTAGCGTCTTAATTTTTCACATTTGAAAGACCAAGAAAACCTTATTTGCGTAATAGTTTTTAATAACTATGCAATATTTTGCTGCTTTGCTGCAAGAGAATAGAATTTGGCATAAGCACGTTTTGAAGGCTAACTTTTTAAAGGAACATTGTCTTCTGTGGATGTTAAGGGAAAAATTTAAATACATTTGACACAATACAATTACCTTTGCCTGTCATATATATACTTTTAAAATGAAGTCATATGATATATCAGGAATTTATCAAATTAAAAATGAAAAGTTTTGAACGCTTTTTCTCTTTGACTTTTTTTCTCAAAGGATTTCATAAAGTCAAATCCTCTTTAGCACAAGCTTCTGTGTTTCATATATGATATGGAGTTCCTAAATGCTGGAGTGATGCTTCTGCCAAAAAAAAAATGTGTGTGTGTATTTAAATTTTTTTGTTTTAGTACTTTAAATATATCTTGCTCCTTGTGCTGTAGAACATGCAGAATTCATACAATTCAGAATCTTAAGTTTGCACAACTATCAATATTTTCGGTAAAAGCAGAAAATGATCTGGTTTTGAGGTAGACACACTGAGGTATTCTCCTAAAAATCAATCCAGTTTGAGAGTGATAAAATGATTTCCTAAAGATATTGTTGTCACTGGAATACCTGTTTATTTCCCTGTGTTTCTTAGCAAACAGTGAGTTTTTCCAGCTTCTCAGTCAAAATGGAGCACCTCAAGCAGATGTGACCATGTACAGTCTTGAGGAGCTGGCCACTATTGCTTCAGAACACACTTCCAAAAACACAGTAAGAGTTCATGAATTTTGCCATATCAACCTGGGTGACTTTTCCTAAGGACCTTCTCTAGATGTGGGTTTTTAAAAATAATAACTGAAAATTTCAAAAATCATAATTTGAGGTAAACAACGGAGAAACTTTAGTAAAGAGGTACTGTGTAGTTTCACCTGCCCTTGCCAGAGAAAACGCCTAAAGGCAGAGGCAGCACATTGTGTGTGCTGTGTGTGCAGTTCACTCACTTTAGTCATGAGGTGCTTCTCTCTCCTTAGCATTCCTGAGTTCTCTGCAATTAAGAGAAAAAGTAACACTGCAGAGTAATTTCCTGCATCTTATTCTAATCTCCGAAATGTTAATTTCTATTTATATCATTCTTAGTTCCAATATCTACTACTTCAAGTTGTAACAACTGGATTTTATAGAACAGGTGAGTTGAGATGCTGTCATTTTTTGTAAAATTTTGGAAGAGAACTTTAGTATATCTTTTTTGAATCTCTTCTTGTTGACAGAATAATTAGTCTTCATGTTTTGTTGATAAGGTGGAGGTTACTTATGTTTAGAATTCAACATAAAGATTTTATAATATTGGAACATGAGCTATCCCTAGTATTATAATAGTGCTTATTTAACAGACTAGTGTGTGCATAGTACTATAATAGATGCTGTGGAGATTTTTTTTTTAAAGTTTAAGAAAACATTTGTCCTTTCAGATCTTTAAGATTAAGCTAGAAAGGAAAATATGCCATTCATTGCTGGCAAACACAAATAATGCTGAATATACTAAATAAGTTATATTTATGTCTAATGGAAGAAATTAGAGCAGTGATTCATATGTAATGAGGTTTGTCAAGGACAGCTTCTTAAAGGAGGTGGGTAAATCTTGCGCTTGGTCTTAAAAGCATAGAATCTGTGTTGGTGAAGAGATGACAGTCCCTCCAGGTGTTGCAAAGCAGAAGAAATCAGAAGTTTATGTACTGTATGCATAGAATGAGCAGGTATATATTTTGACATAGAAATCAAACCTTCAGAAGGTAAAATGCAGGTTTGATAATATTTAAGAAGTGTGTTGGAGAAAGTTTACGTGAGGAATTCTATTGCCTTTGTAGGATGTGCATGTGTGTTTTAAGCTGTTGATCATGGTAGAAATTTACCTTTCAGGAAATATTGAAAGTATCTCAATGTTTGCATTTATTTTAAATGTTTCCATAGGATACCTTTGTGGCAGTGTTTTCATTTCTGTCTGGAAGGTTAGTGCACATTTCTGAACAGGCTACTTTGATCCTGAATTATAAGAAAGATTGCTTGGAGTCCTCTCACTTTGTTGACCTGCTTGCCCCTCAAGACGTGCGGGTGTTCTACACGCACACTGCCCGAGCTCAGCTCCCCTTCTGGAACAACTGGACCCAAAGAGGTAACAGGACCAGTGTTCAAATCTTTATGCTGCTTCATCAGGATCAGTTTCGTTCTTTTGGAGATAGTACAGAAATCAGCATATTTTTTAGGCCATGCAAACTATATAGTTTTTCTCATTCTTTTTTTAAGAAGTCAGAATACATTTGTTTTCATTTAGTCAAGTCAGTTTCATAGATTATACATCATAAAATGATTTGATTAGCAGTTTAATGCTGTATAGTACTTTAATTGCTATGAAGGCTCTGTTTCCTTTAAGTTAATAAAATTAAATGTTTTCCTTCCCATGTTGACTTCATGATTCCTTTGTATAATAGATTTTACTTAGAGATAAAATTGTGATGGTTAGCTCCCTTTTCCAGTTTTTCTTGCTCCTAAAAGTTCATGAATCTCATAACTTTGTTTTTCTTCTGGAATCCTTGTTTTCCTGAACCAGGGATATCTATTCACAGTTTTCTTTATGACTTTCATTCATGTGTGATCTTAATTTTTTTTTCTTTATTTTTGAGACAGGGTCTCACTCTGTCACCTTGGGTAGAATGCAGTGGTGTCATCACAGCTCACTGCAGCTTCAAACCCTTGGGCTCAAACGATCCTCTTGCCTCAGCCTCCCTAGTAGCTGGGACTACAGGCATGCACCACCACACCAGGCTAATTTTTACTATTTTTAGTAGAGATATGGGAGATCTCATTCTTGCTCAGGCTGGTGTCAAATTCCTGAGCTTAAGCAGTCCTCCCACCTCAGCCTCCCTAAGTGCTAGGATTACAGGGATGAGCCACTGGGCCCAGCCATTATGTGATCTTAATTTATTATTTCTCTTTAAAGTTACCTTTTATTTTTTCGTATTCTTTGTGAAGTGTCTCCTAAAGAGCTTTGTGTATATCAGCTGCCTTTTTAATTTCAAGCCCTTTTCTGTATGATTTTTGTTGTTGTTGTGGCAAAATAAAGAGTGAAATTTACCATCTTAATCATTGTTAAGTGCATAACTTCAGTAATATGAAGTATATTTATATTGTTGTAAAACATCTTCAGAACTTTTTCATCTTCATATCTGAAACTCTATATATACCTTTTTTGACTTTTCAGTCCAGTACTTGGGCTGATGAAGAATAGTCTTGAATGCTTCTTTTTCCATCTTTTTTGAATATTTTTACATAAGTTCCAGAAAACATGCCTGTCGTCCTTGCTTACTTCTAGCTCCTTCATCTCCTTTTCCCATCTTTCAAAAATATTTCATTTCTCTTTCTCTTCCCTAAATACACATTTCAACCTTTAATTGTCCATTTTTTACCTTCGTTTTCATTCATCTATTCGTTCCATTAACATTTACTCAGCAATCACTACGAGCCAAGAACTACTCTAGATGCTGGGATACAGCTGTGACCAGGACGCATAATACTGTTCGCCACGTCTTTCACATTTCCCAGGTCTCTTTGCTTCTACATCGCCTGTGTTTTTTCAGCCTTTTTATCTCTGCTGACTGCTGATGGCTATGACAGTTCCCTTCCATGTAAAATTTAATATGCCCTGAAATTGTTCATTTGGACCTCAAAATTTATTTATGCCATAAAGATATGATAATGCATCTAGTTGGATCTTCATATTATACTTTTACTTTATAAATGCTCAAGGATTCAAACTTATTGAGAGCAGTTAGCTCCACCCCCTTTCTAGACTGGATCCATGTTCCTTCCTTCCGTCCCTTCCTTTAAGCTCATATAATATTAAGAGGACATAGAAGCTCTGTACCCAGCTGTCATCAGCCTTTGGTCCTGCATTAGAACATATCTCTACTTATGGGTGCCATACAAACCTGTCAGAAGGATCTGACCTTCAGAACACACTTCCAGAAACAAGAAGCCTTTACATATTTACAGGCTAGGTATTGAAGTGTATCATGGGCTCACATCTAGATCTGTCTTAGATCACATGGTCTGGTTTCCATTGGGACAGGACTTCTCGTGGATGCAGTTGGTGTTTGGGTGGCTGGTGTGATATATAAATGGTGTAAGCATATTTACAGTAGATGCTGTTTTCTGATTTTTCTACAATCCTTTCCTTAGATGTACAAAGAGCTGGACGTTTTCAATATTGTGGTTCTTTAAGACTCAATTGGTTAGGCTACCACCAGTGTATTATTTTTATAACTTCTCACAGCTTTTCATGTTTCCTATAACTGAGGACTTCTCATTCCAGTGAATGACCAAATGCTCAAATGCTATTCATGAAGCTCTAAGCAAAGGAAACATGCAGTCTGCAAACACTTTGGAGAAGGTTCCGCCCCCTCTTTTGCCCCTAAGATAGGCAGATTTAAATGTTTCTGAATTACCACCTTATAAATCAATAAAATTGATCCCAAATCAAAAAATAATGCAAAAATCAATAAAATACAAGCCATTGACATGAGTGTTATGAGAAAACATTAATGACACTGTAAATTGACACAATCTTGTGGAGAGTAATATACCAATACATGATAAGAGTCATGATATCATTTAACCTAGGAGCACAACTTTTTGAATTTTTTTTTTTTGAAATGGGATCTTGTCCTGTTGGCCCAGACTTGCGTGCAGTGGCATCATAATATCTCATTAGAGCCTCAAACTCCTGGGCTCAAGCAACCTTCCTGTCTCAGCCTCCCAAGTAGTTGGGGCTACAGGCCCATGCCTGGCTAATTTTTTATTTTTTTATAGAGACATGGTCTTGCTGTGTCAGTCAGTCTAGTCTCAAACTCCTGGCCTCCCAGACTGCTAGGATTACAGCTGTGAGACAGCACACTTGGCCCACTTTTTGAAATTTATCCAAGGAAAGAATTTAAAGAGAAAAAAATTAAACTTAACATCAGCCAAGTGCAGTGGCTTACACTGTAATCCTAGCACTTTGGGAGGCAGAGGCACAAGGATTGGTTAAGGTCAGAAGGTCAAGACCAGCCTGAGCAAGAGTGAGACCCCGTCTCTACTAAAAATAAAAAAGATTAGCCTCGTGTGGTGGTGTGCACCTGTAGTCCCAGCTACTCAGGAGGCTGAGGCAAGAGGATTGCTTGAGCCCAGGAGTTTGAGGTTGCTGTGAGCTAGGCTGATGCCACAGCACTCGAGCCCAGGCAGCAGAGTAAGACTCGGTCTCAAAAAATAAATAAATAAACAAACTTACATAGCCAAAAGGCGAGAATAGTCTAAATTCCCAATTTTTTGAGACTGTGTCTGGATCTCACAATGAGGGAAGAGAGTTCTATTTTGATTAGGAGGACATCTCTCTTAAAAAAAAAAAAATGGTGTGTTGTTCGGTAATAGCATGATGCTGTTTTGCTGAGGAACCGCCAAGGCGGGAGCGACTGACATCTGCCTTTGTTTCCAGCAGCTTCGCAGCACAACTATGCTCCTGTGAAATCCTTCTTCTGCAGGATCCGGTAAGCACGCCCGCACTTACTGATGGAGGCCGGAAATGGGGACTGGGCTCTGGTTTTATTTAGTGCTTTTTCTTTTGTGTTCAGCCAGGTTCTGTTGCAGGTGCAGAAACTAAGACTTGGCTCTTGCCACAAGGAGTTTATATTTCGATCGAGGAGAAGAAACTCACTCACAAGAAAACTAAATAATAATGTAACAAGAAAAAAAGACCAGAAAGATAATTCTTAATCATAGCATGAAAGAATCACTAGATGTGAAGTATACTTTAAAATGACCATTGTTTTGGGCTCTTTTTGTTTTTCAGTCACATTTAAAATTAATTTGTGAAATTTTTAATAGCTTTAAGGAAAACAAGATATTTCTATTTATTACAGTTGTTTCAAAGATCCAGAGACTGTGAACTAGAAGAAAATAGACCGAAATTTTAACAGTAGTTGATTTCTGGTAGGATTTACGAGTGATGTTTTTTTCTCTTCTAAATTTATTGTAATGTTAATGTTACTTTCATAATAAAAATGTATTTTTAAATAATATTATGATTGCCAATTAGTATTGAAGTTATGAAATGCTCTAGATACTTAGAGGAGAGAAACATCCTTGTAATGGATTGTTCTAATACTCCATGGAATTGGGGGACTTGAGCTGATAGTACCTGGATACGTGGGGAGGGGTAACCTAAGGAAGTGTTGACAGGATCATTCTCAAATGAGTTATGACTATCTTAGAACAATGTCTGTAGTAAGTGCTATGTGTGTTTTTATGTTAATGTTTTTGATTGCTTTCTCTGAGGCAGGCACTGTTAAAGTGCTAAATTCAAAACAAAGTTCTTGTCTCATGTACTTAAAATTCTAGAGGAGACCAGTAATGAACAAATATCCAAATATACATGAGTCAGGCCAGGCACGGTTGGTCATGCCTGTAATCCTAGCAGTCTGGGAGGCTGAGGCAGGAGGATCCTTTGAGCTCAGGAGTTTTGAGACCAGCCTGAGCAAGAGTGAGACCCTTTCTCTACTAAAAAAAAATATAGAAAGAAATTAGCTAGACAATTAAAAATATATATAGAAAAAATTAGCCAGGCATGGTGGCACATGCCTATAGTTCTAGCTACTCGAGAGGCTGAGGCAGGAGCATCACTTGAGCCTAGGAGTTTGAGGTTGTGAAATAAAAAGAGAGGTCAAGAGTGGCACCAGGGCTTTTGGTTGGAGTTACCGTTCAGAGAGGTGGAGGAAACTATAGGAAAAGCTCCTTCCTCAAGAGGAGGGGGGAAGAATGTGGTGCTTAGTCTGAGACACATTAACTTTGAGACACCTATTAGAAATCTGAGTTGAGTCTCTGTGTAGAGTCTGGAGTTCAGGGGAGACATCCAGGCTAGATAGAGACGGACACTTTGCTCATCATATCAATGGCATTTAGAAGCCATGGACTGGATGAGCCTGGAAAACTCATTCATAGAAGTAAAGGGAGCCGCAAGATGTAAGTGCGGATGCTTGTAGGCAGTACTGGGAGAAGGTTCACTTCCAGATGATTCTCTCATCTCAGTGAGATAGGAAGCGCAGTCAGCAGTTGAGGGTGGAAAGTAGGAGGAGATACTGGAGTTTGACAAGAGAAGAAGCGCAAGAGGGAAGAGGGAAGGAGAATCTCTGGGCAGCACTGAAGATCCACTTGGCATTAGTGGTCATGAATTTAATGCTTCAGGGAGAGTAGAGGCATGATTGGTAGAAGTGGGATAGTATAAATTCAGTCTGGGGACATTTTAACTTCTCAGGGATAGTGGTGTCTCCAAGTGGAAATGTCTTCTGGGTAGCTGAAATGACAGATAGGGTGGACGTTTTTAGTTATTAGTCAGAGCCATCCCTCCCTAGAGATCCTTTCGCCTCCTGAGCCGGCTCCAGGGCTTGCTGCGCTGGATCCAGTCTGTGCCTTTCCTTTCCTCCTCCGCCGGGTGCCGTCACAGACGGAGTGCTCGACCGCATGCTCTGGGGATGTGATCTCAGGGGAATCCGGCTCTCTGTTTGTGGCACTTGATGTAGACATGTGAGATAGGATGGTTGGGCCTATCTCCATCACAGCAGAAGTGGCAAATGAGACTGGGTGTTTGGGGCATGGAGGTGAGAAGTCATGGAATGACTAGATTTGTTTCTATACTCAAAGAATCTCAGCTGGTTCTTTAGAAAACCTCTTATTTGTTGAATAATGAATAAATATAATTGCCCCTGGGTATTGAAAATTTAAGCTAATATTTTCCCTTTTTTGAAAACAAACAGGTTTAAACATTTTAGATTTGAGTATGTTTCTCTCCGAAATTACTAAAAAACATTTCTCCCAGCCTTGTTCGCAGTGGGCTAATAGAATGCATCAGGACCAGCACTAATCGTCTTTAATCTCTTCAGTGGAGGGGAAGGCAGAAGAGAGCAAGAGAAATACTACTCCCCATTCCGGATTATTCCCTACTTGATTCACGTACATAGCCCTACCCATCCAGAGCCGGAACCTTGCTGTCTCACGCTGGCTGAAAAGATTCACTCTGGTTATGAAGGTAATTTGGGGTGGGGGTGGGGGTCTGCCTCCTGAGGCAGCAGTCAGAGGGAGCGTGGGAAAGCCTGTTTCCTGCATCTGAACACGAAACATTGCCTGAGTCTCCCTCTTGGCCCCAACTCTTGGCACTTTCAGCTGTTTTTTTCTGATGCCTCTGTTTACAGACCTTGACTTCTTGTGCCATTATCTCCTTCACGGACGGCATGGCCTAATGTTCTCAGCATAGGGCTTGGTGACAGGTACACAGTCTTCTAGTCCTTTCTCTGCTGGTGACCTGCTGTGTGGCCTTCTGTCTCGTGTGGAATAAGAGCAGTGAAACTGTTTCACAGAGAGACCACAAGAATGAATTTATGTTTTTGAAGTGTTTTGAAATTCCCTTGGTAAAAAGTATATTTTATGTCTTCCATGAGCAGAACTACATTTCTAAGCTCATATATCGATACACAGGCAGCTTCCATGTATTGCTTGAAACTACAGTCAGTTCTGATGTGACATGGCTCAGTTTCCTAAAAATTAACCGTCCTATGTAAAAATCACCCAATAAAAACCACAGGGCTTATTGGGAAAATGGGTTCAAGAGCATAATACTAAAAAACTTAATGTCACATTAAAAATAAGACAGGAATCTAACAAAAATGACAACAGTTTTGCATGTTAAATAATTTGAAAATACACAAACACAATGATAACATAGCTCATAGCATGGGGTGAACTGGAGTAACAGGCACATATTGAAGGGGTGTGTTGTTCTGTGTTCCTGAGTGGTTCCATTCAGCTGAATGCTGTTCTCTGTGTTCACTTAAGGTTTCTTGCAAATGAAGTGGTGCCTAAGCAAATGGATATTGGCATTATGTGCAAATTGTTCCCTAATATACCCGTCACTGCATTTTCAAAGCAAGTGTTAGAACAAAACTGACTTGTACCAATTTTATTACACAAAGAATGTCCATATAATACTAAGTAACATTGCATCCTTTTATTCATTTATTTATATACAACCACTAAATAGGACTGAACCTTTTAGTTACTCTAGTTTTAATGATTAGATTACTTGTGATGGGAAAACTGGTTTTTCGGTGTGTACGGACTTTCTCTGCTTAAAATTAACTTTAGCAGGCATCACATTTTGACTTAATTAAAACTTAGTAATGAGAATTATTACCATTTAACTGTAGATTTGGCTGCTTGAAGGCTAGACCCTAAGTGAGATTTCTGCCATTTTCATGTGGAGATTTTGTTCCCTTTTTAATATGTTATATGGTTAAGTGGATGATTAATCAGGTACTTGCCTTTAGATGCATCTGTTTTTTTCATAGCTCCTAGAATCCCAGTGGATAAAAGAATTTTTACCACAACACACACCCCAGGGTGTGTTTTTCTTGAAGTAGATGAAAGGTAAGTACTTCTTTAAGCCTAATGGAAATTTGTTTCTTAAAATAAACTATGAAAAAGCTTATATTATATTTGCATACATAGATATTATGTAACTGAAATCTACCCATTTGCCTATTTGATTTTTGTTAGTTACACTGAAATTTGTGTTGGGTAAATTTCTAATGTAAATATCTTATGTGTTATAAAGTTATCATGAGTAAACATTTTGATTTCACAGCAGTATGCTTTAAGTAGGTCAAGAATTATTTCATTTTCTTAGCACTCTGGGAGGCTGAGGCAGGTGGATTGCTTGAGGTCAGGAGTTTGAGACCAGCCTGAGCATGAACAAGACCCCATTTATACTTTAAAAAAGTGGAAAAATTAGCTGGGAACTACTAAAAATAGAAAAAATTAGCCAGGTGTGATGGTACTCGCCTGTAGTCCCAGATACTTGGGAGTCTTAGGCAGGAGGATCGCTTGAGCCTAGGAGTTTGAGGTTGCTGTGAGCTAGGCTGATGCTGCAGCACTCTAGCCTGGGCAATGGAGGGAGACTCTGTCTCAAAGAAAAAAAAAAAGAATTATTCTGTTTTACAAAGGAGGACAATGAACCCAATTTGCCAAGAATGTATGTTCGCATTAGGTTGTGCTCCAACTGAGACCAAGACTCCGGTCTTCTAGCACTTATTCTACTATTATTTCCACTTGACAAGTCCTTCTCAGATCAGTTTATGATGAAATTTTGGTTAATCTGAAATGAGGGAAAAAGTGGATAGGCTTTTTTTGTGTGTAAAGATAATTTTTTTAATTTAAAGGATTGTTCTTCATTCAGAATTTATCTTTCCTACTTTTTTTGATGTTAAAATAGTCTTTGTTATTACTTAAAGGATAGTGTTAGTAGTTATTGTGTGTTGCTATTTTTAAAATGTTTATTTGGAAAAAGTAAATACTAGTATCACTACATCTGCATCCCCAATTTTTTCCCAAAATTTATTTTAAAATTTTACTTATTCATGAAATTTGAAAATTTCAGAATCAATGCACCATACAACACATAAGTGTAAAGCAAAAATATCAAAAACTTGCACATTGTTGTAATAAGTATTAATTTTGATTTTTAAAAAATTTTAACATTTGAAAGTGAGTTTATTTAATAATATTTACCCTGAAACCAAACAGTAATTGGTGAGATACTTTGTATAATATAATCTGTATAAAGTGATAAAATTTACCTAAAGATAATTCTGAAAATAGCTTCAATCTGTTGTATTAGAAAATATTTTTGGATTTTGACACATAAAAAAATGTATATGAAGTGAGTTTTTTCTAAGTCATCCTTGTCTTATCATTACAAGTTTCTTGTGAACTTTTATCCTGAAAATGTTTCTGTGTACTAGTTGTCTATTTGTCACTCCCTTTTAGGAGATGTTGTTTTTATGTACTTTTAATTATGCTGTATGAATCTGTAACCTGCTTTATTCATTTATTATTATCAGCATCTTTCTGCGTTATGATGTGATGTTTGTAGACTTTTTAAATGGCAGCATAATGGAGGGCATCAGAATCCTCTGAGGAACTTGCTAAAAATACACATCCCTGCTCTTACCTTCCAGATTCTGCTTTAGTAAACTTACCATGAGCCTGCAAATCTGATTTTTAGCAAGCTCCCTAGACGGTTTTGATGCAATATGTCAGATGACCACATTTGTTAGGTTACGTAGCCATTTCCCCATAGAATAGGCACTTAGGTTGTTTGTTGCATTTATATTAATAAATGCTGTGATGAACATCTTTTGCATAAAATTTTTTCATATTCAGAATTAAGTAAAGAAGTATTTTTAAAAGCATGTAAAGTATGAAAATTACTTGATGAGTGTAACATGCTTTGTTGTGTTTCTGTATCCCAGAGCGGTGCCTTTGCTGGGTTATCTACCTCAGGACCTGATCGGAACATCCATCTTAACATACTTGCACCCAGAAGATCGTTCTCTGATGGTTGCTATACACCAAAAAGGTAAGGACCTACTTCTCTACAGGAGGAAATTTTTTTACCACTGATTTGTTCTAATTTTTCTTTTCATTTCTCAGTAGAGTCTACCCTTTAACCAGATAGACCATGTATTGAAACTGTTAGTACAATTGTTTTCTATTTAAACATAAATTTCCAAATAAATAACTAAAACAGGACATTTCTAATCAATATCTGTGTTGAATAAATTCTATTTTGGTCTTATTATTTTATATAGTCTTGAAGTATGCAGGCCATCCTCCCTTTGAACATTCTCCCATTAGATTTTGTACTCAAAATGGAGATTACATCATATTGGATTCCAGTTGGTCCAGCTTTGTGAACCCCTGGAGCCGGAAAGTTTCTTTCATCATTGGTCGACATAAAGTTCGAACGTAAGTCAGTCTGTTTTCGTATTTTGTAAAAATCTCTTTTATCAAGTAATATTCCTTAGCTCATTGACTCCCCCTTGAATCAATTGACACATGAACTAAATAAAACACGGATATTTTTTTTCAGTGCTTATGGAAGATGGTTTGGCAATATTTACCAACAGCCTTAAAAGAAATCATAATGTCAGACTTAAATTAACTTAAATATCTATCATTAAGTAAACTCTGGAATATTTGTTTGATGTATTATTTATTTGGTCAATAAAAATTTTTGCAGAGATAACATGGGAAAATGTTTTGACATATTAGATATAAAAAGCAGCCTATAAAATTATTTATACCTATGATTATAATTATGTTTAAAACACACAAACACAAACTGAAATAGGGAAGAGAAGATTGAAAGGAAATAAAATGTGGATTTTGGGTTTGTGTGTGTGTAGTGGAACTATAGATGAGGGTTTTTTTCTTTTTTTTGCTTTCTCTTTATTTTAAAGATCCCTTTAAAACTTTTTATATAAACCTTTTGCTTCAGATTCCATGTATGGTGTCTATTTTATTAAATCATTATTGTTAAAAATTAGATTCTTTAATCCTTCTTTTCTAGCATGCCTAACTCCAGGTCATTTGCTTGCTGTTAATCTGCCACATAACAGTCATGTGAAATAGAACAACCAACCTGGCCCACTACTGCTTGTAGCCTAAAATACTCCTAGTCCATTGTCTTTGGGGTCCATTTTTAATTGACCTGTAGGTCTTTCGACCTGGCCATGTGGTTTCCCTGAACTCTAGTATCATGAGACTGAGACTGATACTAATTTTTTATACAGCTTTGTATATGTAAGCATAAAACTGAGAACAGTAGCTCTATCATACCAATAAGATTAATCACATGTTGCTAATAATATTATAGTAGAGATGATATGTATGCACGGTGAGAAACAGTCTCAAGGTTGCTCTCAGCTTTTTGTGCTCCAGGGTTTGGCCTCTGTACAGAGCACATCTGGAACCTTAATGGAAGAAATGGCCTCCTTGCTGCCCTAACTCAGCCCGATCTGTGCTAAAAAACTAATTTAATAATTAAAATGAGAAATACTACTGTTAAGTAATTGCTATTTGTGTTGATCAGAAAGGACTTTTTTCCTCCAGTGGGAAGCCTATTGAGAAGTGAAAATAAAAGCAGATGGTTGCTTAGTATGAATGTGAAAAGCCCCAGAGCAAGGAAGTTCCTCTCATGAGACACCCATGTGGGAGTGATTGACTGGTCTGCTCTCCCAACCCCCGTCCATGCTAGAGATGCCTCCGAGGTTTCCCAGGTCGTCTTTGCAGTTCCCTAATTAAATAGATATGAAAGGCCTGGCGCCTGTAATCCTAGCACTCTGGGAGGCCAAGGCGGGCAGATTGTTCAAGTTCAGGAGTTTGAAACCAGCCTGAACAAGAGCAAGACCCCATCTCTACTAAAAATAGAAAGAAATTAATTGGCCAACTAAAAATATGTAGAAAAAATTAACTGGGCATGGTGGTGCATGCCTGTAGTCCCAGCTACTCGGGAGGCTGAGGTAGAGTGAGACTCTGTCTCCAAAAAAAAAAAAAAAAATAGATGTTTTCAGTATTTTAAAAAATTATAACTATTTACATCTCAAGAACAAAGATTAATTGAGGGGAAGAACTTAAGGTTCAGTAGGTATTACTATCATAAAACAATAATTACCCATTATATTTATGAAGTTAGTTTTAATGCATTTATGCCCTCAGTAAGTGTTTATAAGTTGCCTACTCTGTGTAGAGCTTTGTGCGAGACCCTTAGAATGAGGTAGTAAACGCACATCCTTTTTACCATTGTGGAACCACATTGTAACGGGAGAGACAGTAAAACCAGCGCTGTGATACACACCAAGAGCTTGGGGACGGTGGAAACGTGAAGGGGGCTGGGAGAGCGTCTAGCAGGGAACCCTCACCATGTCTCTTTGGGTTCTTCCCACAGTACTGTGGGCAGACAGGTGAGGACCCGTAGGTAATGTCACCTCCCATTTTACAGGGGAAATCCATACCCGGTGAAGTAGAGTCACTTTCCCAGGGATCACTTGGGGAGAAGTTTAAAGTGAAGACTGAAGCCAGGTTTTCTTTCTTACTCCAACTTCTCTCAAGTAGGAAGCAGCATAGTACGTCAGAGCTTTTTATACTTGTTTGATGAAGGCAGTCGGTCACCTGCAGATTAATCAGTTTTGAGTTATATAATTAATCTTGTTTTTTTGTGTATGAGACAGAGTCTCACTCTGTTGCCTGGGCTAGAGTGCTATGGCGTCAGCCTAGCTCACAGCAACCTCAAACTCCTGGGCTCAAGTGATCCTTCTGCCTCAGCCTCCCGAGTAGCTGGAAATACAGGCCTGCACCACCATGCCCAGCTAATTTTTTCTATATATGTTTTTAGTTGGCCAATTAATTTCTTTCTATTTTTAGTAGAGACGGGGTCTCGCTCTTGCTCAGGCTGGTTTTAAACTCCTGACCTCAAGTGATCCACCCACTCAGGCCTCCCAGAGTGCTAGGATTACAGGTGTGAGCCACCGTGCCCGGCCAAGTTATATAATTAATGATTTAAATGTAGAATTTAGTTTTGTAAAAATTTTCACAACTAGGTATGTCTAAGTATCACAGTATAAAGCAATCTATTCTATTTCCATTTCAGAATTTCACTCAAAACACAAAATCCAAATATCTCTGAAAGATTTTCAAGCTCGTAATGTACAGGATATATTTGTATTAGGAATCAGATGTACTTTTAGTCCCATATTGACTATTCATTTATGTATTATTCATTCTTTTAACAAATATTTAGCGGGTGCTTGCTATGGACCAGACAGACACTGTTCTAGGTACTAGAGATACAGGAGTGAACAAAACAGACAAAAAAGCTGACCCGTGGAGCTTACGCAGTGGTGGGAAACAGGGAGGGACAGACAGCCTACAAAACAATTCCGTACAAGGTGAGCGGGTCAGGTTGTGGAATAAGGCAGTGTATTCGGGTAGTTTGCCACTGACGCTGGCCCCTGCCATAAGATAAGGGTGAACGGGACAGCTGTTCCGCCATGATGGGGGACGTGCATGGTGAGTGGGTAGTCTCCACGTGGACTTATTCTTGAATACTTATATGGCACTACCAACATCCTATGATTTTTTTTTTATCTATAATTTCTGCCTTTGGAAAAATGTTTCAGTTTTTAGGTAACTGAGTTGCATGACAAATTGTGAGAGTCTACAGGCCAGCGTAATGGAAAAAGGAAAGCACAGCTTTGCTGTCAGACATGTGGATTCAAATCCTGGCTGTGCTACTTCTTGTTTATGTGAACTTGGGCAAGTTCCTTAGACTCTAATCCTCTCACTTTAGGTGTCAGGGCTAATTCGTACTCACGAGGGTGAAACAATGCATTTGACTCAGTGTACCTCATTGCTAGTGCTTGCTTTTCCAAGGGACCAACAGGCAGTACAGCGTGGTCATGACAAGCGTAGGTTCTGGAGCAGGCATCCTCAAACTACAGCCCACACAGTACATTTATCAGGCCCCGCCGGGTGGTTTTGCCACTGCTGCCTGTCCTGCTTAGCAGCCCACTCGTCCCGGACCCACAGTGCACATGTGTGGAATGTGCACCACATTCTCCAACGGCCCTCCAACGGTCTGAGGGACAGTGAGCTCTGGCCCCTGTTTAAAAAGTTTGAGGACCCCTGCTCTGGAGCCTAGATCTGGTCCCTCCGTGAACACTGCTTACCCTTTCCCAGCTGGGTGACTGGGGCAAGGATTTTAATCGATAAGGGAGATAATACTTGTAAAGCACTTGGAATTGAAAGCGCTTTGAAAATGTTAGTTTTTCTCATTGTATATTGTGAAAATTAGTACCGGTCCTGTCACATAGAAGGTCCTAAATAAACGTTGCTCCTTCTCTGTGATCCTCTTTGTATCTGTCATTTACTGTCTTCAGGGAATAGATTCAAAGTGCTCTAGAATTTGAGTATAAATAAGATTAAAGGTCTTGTAAGAGCCACGGTTTCACCACTAGGGTGGGTCACAGAATCATCTTTATTAGATAGCTTAAGTGACCAGATGCACTAAGCATTAAATGTTGTTTAGCAAATTTAGGGTCTTAAAATTCTCACAGTAGGTTACTCAGTTTATGTCAAATTTTGAAGCCAGTCATTGTCATAGATATTTTAGTAGCTAGGTAGGTTACTTGTCACTAATTTTAGATTGATATATATGTATTACTGAAATAATTGCAGGAAGATCAGTGTTATAGAGAAACTTAAGAAGCCTGTTAATATCTCATTTGTTTCTTAGCATTTTCTATACTTCTATGAATAGAATTTTAACTTAATAGTTTCCATATTTATAGTCACAGTTGCTTTGTAAAAGCATAGATTTATTCTTTGAATATTAAAAATTACTTAAGACTTCATTATAAAATAATTTTAAGTTATTTGACTCAGTCTTTCACTTGGCATTTTGTAGGAGTCCACTAAATGAGGATGTTTTTGCTACCAGAATAAAAAAGATGAACAGTAATGACAAAAACATAACAGAATTACAGCAACAAATTCACAAACTTCTGTTGCAGGTAAAGTGAGATTTTAAAAAAGCAAATACAAAATTCCCATAACCGTGTTTTAACCTTTAGTCTTAGTAAAGTCACCTCATTAAAATAAACTGTAAGGAGACAGAAATCTTTACCATCTACATTCCTGAAATTTTTGTCTTGCTCTTTTTGTTTTTAAATAAAGTTTTATTAATTTTTTGTTCATTATGCTGTGTTAAATACTCAGAACATTTTTGTAAGAACTCATTTTAAGACAGCAAACTGAGTCACAGTAAGCACTAGGACAGAAAAGTTACTGCTATGTGAGAGGATTCTTTTTTGCATTCCAAATGCCACCAGTGTGCTCAGCCTATGGGTTTTGGCATCTGTATTTTTTAAAACAATTTCAGTTTTGAAGGTGGGAGGAAAAGGATGGTAGGTCTCAGTGTCTCTAGCTATTATAAGGTAAATGTAGGAACAATTACATGTTGAAAAGAAATATCAAAGATGGTTTCTACTAGAGATTTAGTCAATGAGTTTGTAGTAAATAAAACTTACACTGTCACATAGAATAACTGTTCTCTGTAGTTTTCAAAATGTCTCCTATAAAATCTCCAGGGTGTGTGAAGCATCTGTCAAGTTCTTGAAAAAAAGTATGGTATATATTTAATTTTTTCTCTTCTAAACTCGGCTTAAAGAGCTAGAGTTTATTTTCATGTTTTTAAAAATTAACTATACTTTTAAAAAATGTGTTGTCCCAGAAATTCCTACCCAGACTAGAAAACAGGTCTTTGTTCTTGAGAATGACGGAAATGACAGAGGAATGCCTTTCATGACAGCATTAGGGTTCAAAGCATCAACCTAAACACACTTAATTTAGGAATTCGGAAATTTTGCTCTTAATTTTCGGATGATTCTAGATCAGCTCTGAGCTAAGCAGTGCCGCCATTTACATAGCCAGTAGTAACTCTGAGCTTGTCGTCTGTCCTCCCAGCCAGTTCACGTGAGCGCTTCCAGCGGCTACGGCAGCCTGGGGAGCAGCGGCTCGCAGGAGCAGCAGGTCAGCGCCGCGTCCTCCAGCGGGTCCAGCGGGCACTGCGTGGAGGAAGCACAGAGGGAGCCGGTGAGTGGGCGCGTGCTGTGTTCTTGGCTCAGTGTGTGTTTGTGACTCAATAACCTCATCTAATGAGAGAGATCGTGATCCATTCTGGGCAAGTAGGTGGCTGTAAAAAGAAAGTTTGTTGGTATCTGTGTACCTTGGCACAGTGGGAAACTGAATTAAAGTGATTACTGTGCTTTGTCATTATATCTCCAGAGAACCAGAAGTTAAGTTTATGTTGTTTATGTATCTTTTAATGCACATTTTTATGATTTTTGAAACATTTTTATCATTCCTTTTCCTAAGATGACCTTGCAGCAGGTCTATGCCAGTGTAAACAAAATTAAGAATCTGGGTCAGCAGCTCTACATTGAGTCAATGACCAAATCATCAGTCAAGCCAGCGAGGGGGACACACACAGAACTGCTTGGTGGTGGTAAGTTAGCAGGGCAGCCCCAAGGATCTCCTCCCGCGGGCTGTCACCTTCTGGCTAGACGTCATGTATGTGAGCCATGAGCATAAAGTCATGAACCTTTGTCGCTGCTTTGCATGTTTCTTTATTTGCCCAAGTAACGGTAGTAATGATGATAATAAGAGCAGCAGCAAATGCTGTTCTGAAAGCCAAATGCTCTTAGAATGTAGTTCCAGTACACTTTTACTGAAGACTTAACTTCTCTGAAAATACCAGCAAATTCATAGATTTTCCCACTTATATGAGCTATCTATAAACCAAAAGAGTTAATTTTAGAATGCATTTCAAATAACAAAGGATATTATAATCCTTTTCTGTCATTTCAAATGAATGGAGAATATTTTATGACCTAAATTGAATGAAAAACTTTGGCCTTTTTGTTGATAGATGTTTACTTTCCTCAAATATTAGGTAAAGAGCACTCCAGAAGAATTGGATCCATCCTATTAATTGGCATCATTTTGAAAAGTTAACCTAGCTACCTTATATAGTATAAGAAGGTTCTGTAATATAGAGATCAAATTAGATTGACATTTTAATTTATCTAACTTCCTCTTCATTTTTCTCCCTGAACATTATGATGGTTTTCAAAGTTGTGATGGATTTTGGACACCTAAATATTATTAATGATGTCTATTGTTTTGAAATGTAGGCATTTTACATAGTAGGGGTGAAATTTCCTGTCTAAGGTCAATAATAGCTATATTTTTTAGTACTTGACATGATTTACACCACAAAAAGTCAAACTGCTGTTCCCATAGGTAATGTCCCTGGGACCCTGTCTTAGTTTGCTATAACAAAACACCTGAGATGGGAAAATTTATAAACAACAGAAACTTCTCACAGTTTTCGAGGGTGGGAAGTCCAAGATCAGGGTGCTGATGTCTGGTGAGGGCCAGGTCTCTGCTTCCGAGATGGTGCCTTGAATGTCGCATCCTTATTGGGCTGGGGGATGAACTCTGTGTCCTCACATGACAGAAGGGATGGAAAGGCAAAAAAGGGACTTAGCTAGTTCCTTCCAGCCCTTGTATAAGGTCAACAATCCCAATTAAAAATGGCCAAGAGATCTGAACATTTCCAAAGAAGATATATAGACAGCAAATAGCATATGAAAAGATGCTGAATCTCATTAGTCATTAGACAAAAAGAAATTAAAAACACGTGAGATACCACCACATACCTGTTAGAATGGATAAATTGTTAGAAAACTGATAGTGCCAAGTGTTGGCAAGGATGCAGAGTAACTGGAACTCTCACATATTGCTGGTAGTGCACAATTGTGCAACCACTGTGGGAAGGTTTGATGGTTTCCTATAAAGTTAAACATAGTCTTACCATATGTCTTGGCAGTTCCATTCTTAGTTATTTACCCAAGTGAAATAAAAACTTAAGTTCACACAATAACTTATGTTCAGAATATAAAAGTGTGAAGATTTGTTGTACTTTTACTCACCAAACACTGGAAACAACCTAGATGTCATTCAACAGGTGAGGGGATAAACTGTGAGACATCAATACAATGGAATCTACTCAGCTTTGAAGAGGAATGAACTCGATTCATGCAGCAGTGTAAATAAATCTTAAATACGTTTTCTTCTAAGTGAAAAAAGGCAGAACTAGAAGATTACATATTGTCTAATTCCATTGTGGAAAAGCATTCTTTCTAGAAAACAGATCAGTATTTACCAATGGGAGAGGGAGTGACTACAAAGGGGCAGGTGTAGGGAAAATTTTAAGGAATAAAAATGTTCTTTTGGTTACTATGGTGATGAATGCACAACTTTTATGCATTTGCCAAAACCCATAGATGTGTATACTTTCATCCTACCCCAAAATGCAGAGAGAACCCAAGATGACATGCAGGCAGTTATAAATTAATCTAACTATATTACAAATGAATAGTATAAACATATAAAAGGGAACGGGGAAGAAGGGAGCTAAATAGCTTTGGAAAACGGTGTTTTAACTGGATACCTTAGGGCTAAATACAAAACATTAACAAACACTGTATATTGTTTCCCACCAGAGTATGGGAGCTACTTTATACTAGGGTTAAACAAATTGGTGAATATGTTTTAGATAATGATAACAGATTCCTCACTGTCAGAGAAAGAAGTTACAGATAACCAAAAGGGGATCATCAGAATGAACTTTGTGGTATTGGATTGGAGTCTGAGGGTATCAGTACAAAGTCCTGGCCTTTTTGTTTAATATGTGGATGGACGGATGGGTAGACAAGGGTTCCTATACAGACATATATTTACTTGTCCTATCCATTGAGAGGACCTACAAGCTGGGACACATTTAGTAATGACCATACCTAGCACTCAAATCTTGTGGGTTTTGTTTTGTTTTGTTTTCAGTAAAAGGAATCAGGACCAGAAAGTAAAGAAATGCTCAAAAAATAAAATAAAATAAAATAAAAAAAGTGTGAGGGTGGCATGTCAGGAGACAAATTGAAAGAGTTCCCAATGGCCCAAATTGGGCCAATTTGAGCAAAAAAATAATGATAGTATTGGATTATAACCCAACAAATGAAATACATATGCATGAATCCATACTGAAACAATTAATGAATAAATAAAAGAGGAAGGAGTAGAAGGCTAACTCTTCTTTATAGAAGTTTAATGTAAAAGAATGAGGAAAATAGAAAATTGCTATTAGAATTCCACAGTAATAATTGCTGCAGGGAATATCCTCCAATGAATGCTAAAATTATTATATGAAAGGGTTTTCTTTTACCACTGAAGTGTACACAGTTTAGTGGCATTAAATACATTTACATTGTTATGCAACCAGTAAGTGAAAGTTTAAGGGAAACAGGATATTTGCATGATCTTAAAATATTCTCCCAAAACATGTATTGTTTACGTCAGGCGTCCTCAAACTACAGCCTGCAGGCCACATGCGGGTGTTTTTGCCCATTTGTTTTTTTACTTCAAAATAAGATATGTGCAGTGTGCATAGGAATTTGTTCATAGTTTTTTTTAAACTATAGTCCGGCCCTCCAATGGTCTGAGGGACAGTGAGCTGGCCCACTGTTTAAAAAGTTTGAAGACCCCTGGTTTACGTTATTTATTACATTATAAAACAGTGACCTCACACAGGAGAAACCTGACCCACACCACCTTAGCCAATGATCAGGGCAACCAAACGTGACCCTCACGTGCACTAGGCTGATGCACTAAGCAGGCATGAGCCTCTGTGGTTTCTTTCCCCAAATGCATAGCCTCAGTCTGACCATGAGAAAACACCAGAGAAACTCAAACTGAAGACCTTCTACAAAACTCCTCACTGTGCTTCTCAAAAATGTCAAGATCAGGAAAGTAAGGAAAGACTAAGGAACTGCCACAAGTGGCAGTAGACAAAGGAGATGTGAGAAATAAGTGCAATGTAAGATCCTGGAACAGAAAAATGACATTTTAGTGGTAAAATGACAAAATCCAAATTCTGTATTTCCTTTAATAGCATTGTACTTAATTTCTTAGTTTGGTCATTTTATTATGGTTGTAAAGGTGTTGGCCTCAGTGGAAACTGGGTGAGGCACATATGGGAACTCTCTGGACTAGTTCTGCAACTCTTCAAGTCTAAAATTATTTCAAAAATTAAAAGTTAATGAGTAAGCTGGGCGCGGTGGCTCACGCCTGTAATCCTAGCACTCTGGGAGGCTGAGGCGGGCGAATTGCTTGAGGTCAGGAGTTCGAAACCAGCCTGAGCAAGAGCAAGACCCCGTCTCTACTATAAATAGAAAGAAATTAATTGGCCAACTAATATATATAGAATTAGCCGGGCATGGTGGCGCATGCCTGTAGTCCCAGCTACTCGGGAGGCGGAGGCAGAAGGATTGCTTGAGCCCAGGAGTTTGAGGTTGCTGTGAGCTAGGCTGATGCCACGGCACTCACTCTAGCCTGGTCAACAAGCGAGACTCTGTCTCAAAAAAAAAAAAAAGTTAATGAGTAAAAGTTAATACAGTCATTTTTCCATAAAACCCTCTAAAAATAGAGAGGTCTTTTTCAAGCCAGCTAAAAGTAACCTTTATTAACAACAACAGCGTCTAATGCAGGGGTCCTCAAACTTTTTAAACAGGGGGGCCAGTTCACTGTCCCTCAGACCGTTGGAGAGTGCGCACTGTGGGCCCGGGACGAGTAGGCTGCTACGCAGGACAGGCAGCTGCGGCAAGTGTACTAGGCGGCCCGCATGTGGCCCACTTGCTGTAGTTTGAGGATGCCTGGTCTAATGCTTCTTGCAAAACCTCCCAACTGCGCTTGGCATTATCAGTTGCTAATTTTTTGAGATAAAACCATGCCCTGTAGGATTTCCTCTTTTCTAGATGTTGTTTTTTAGCCTCATTTACTGGCTCAGTCTCTTCTATAGAAGTTTGAACACATTGACTGCCACACTGGAAAAATTTTTTTTTCCTTGGGGCCACAGTGTTTGATTATGAAAATAGAATAAAAACTTCAAAAACAAACATTCTTTATAATTTAAGGAAGGATGTGTTATTTTTTATTGTTTTCTGTGTGCGAGTTATATGCAACTGGGAAAATAGTTCACAGGGCTCCCAAGGTGAAGAGATGTGTGAGTTACATATGCTTCATGAGGCCCCGGTCTCAAAACTAGTGTGAGTTAAATACAACTCACATGGTAGTTAATGTGTTAAGTTCTTCAGTGCTCAGGCCTGGAGGTTTTGTTTTCCTCTCTGCACCTGTGGTGTCTGCTCTGATGGCCACTTGCCACATTTGGCAATTTAAATTCAAATTAAATTCAGTTAAAACTTTAGTTCCTCAATTGCTCGAGCCACATTCCAGTACTTAATGAGGCACGCACGGTATTAGTGATGACCATAGTGGACAGCACAAATAAAGAACAATTCTATCAGTCACCACAGAAAATTCTGTTGGACACAGGTCATGCTGTGTACTTTGCATTACGCCTCGTAAGACGTGCACAGTGGTATTCATCCCACCCTTAGTGACTCCAGGATTGACCAGTTGTACAGGTGGGGTCAGCTCAACATTGGAAAGTTCCTGTCAACCCTTCACCTGTAGTTTCCATTCCTTAATAATCTTTGCCTGAAGCATTTGTTTCAGTCCTGATTTTTTAAAATACAAATGTAACCATTCTATGTGTATCATGCTCTGCACCTTATTTACTCATATTGTTAAGTGTTGTGGATATCTTTATATCAGTGCATTTAGATCTAAGCTCATTTTAATTGCTGTGTAATAGTCTATAAATGTATGTATCATAAAGTACCATGACTTAAGTTTATTGAATAAGTATATGTTCTTAACTACTTGCTAAATATTTTTAATTGCACAAACTTTCATTCTCTTTCAGATGAGCAGAAGGCCTTTTCTTCCTTTCAGACATTGAAAAATAATAGCCTGTGTACTGAGTCTTATGAGGATTTGAGGAAAGATGAGCACAGCCCATCCTATCAACAGATAAATTGTATTGATAGTGTTATCAGGTATGAGACATGGGTTTTGATAACATGTTCATTTTTCCCAAAAGCATACTTTGTCACTATGGAGCCTTCATAGAATTTTTAATAGCTGTCCTATCTAGATTTTTCACTATAAATTAGTAGATATTTATGAAGTACCTACTGCCTACAGTTCATAATATACCAAACATTATAGAGGGTACAGAAAATTAGAAGATGCACCCTTTATTTAAAGAAGCTATGGTATAGTTGAGAAGACAAAACCTAATCTTGCCAAAATTAAATAGTGTAAGATTTAAAGATCTATTCAAGACCATAGTGAAAGAGATGTTACAGGCCAGTGGTTGAGGCAGGATGGTCAGGGAAGAAAGTACAAAGTACCTAAATGGTGTGAGAAAAGCAGAGAGGTAGGAAATGGTCCAGTTAAGGGACAGGTGAGAACAGATGACCTAATTATGTTGTTGTAGATACCTGAAGAGCTACAACATTCCAGCTTTGAAAAGAAAGTGTATATCCTGTGCAAATACAACTTCTTCATCCTCAGAAGATGACAAACAGAACCTCAAGGCAGATGATGTCCAAGCATTGCAAGGTACATGAATGCCCTTCAGTGTTAGATGCAAAGAATTATAAATCCATCCTTTGTTTCTCTTTAATGTCTTATCTTTAATTATTTGATTGCAATCATAAAATCCTGTTGTCATATTACTGCTTTATGGCCAGTAGGCTTTAATTTGTCAGTTACAAACTTCTGTGAATTCTTTGGGTCTTTTATATGAATTTCCTATTGGGAATTTCTCTTTTGACTGTCAGTTTCTCTTATATCACCAGCTGTTTCTGAGATCCCAGCCATACCTAAGTCAGAAATGCCAACAAATGCATGGTCCACAGACGCTGGAGGAGCAGCTCCGCAGACCTTGTCCACCGCGGCGCTGGGCCTGGGCTCGGGCGTGAGCCAGTGCAGTTACAGCAGCACCCTGGTCCATGTCGCACCCACGGAGCCAGGTACCACGTTGCCTGTTACTGTGAACCTGTACCCAACAGCAGATGTACCATCAGGAGAAAACAAGTCATTAATACCATTTGCTTAGTTATAACTAATAAATCATAAATATTTTCTCCTTCCTTCAATTCAATTAAAGTGTTTTAGGGAATGTTATTATGTTTGTGTTAGTCACATATTTTGAACTATATTACTCTTACGTTATTTGTCAGCGACATCATTTGACGCATATAAAGCACTTAGAACAATACCTGACAAGTGTGTGGTTGTAAGCCCTCAGTTGGTGTCAGCCACAGTTAATGCAGTTATTGACAGGACGTGTTAGTTTACTTTGTCACTGACCTTTAGAGAAGGTGTTGACTCACCTGCATTTCCCCTGTGTTGACTGTAGTTGTGACTGAATCAACCACACTTACATATACATGTTTGTATTGGTCTGATAACAATGAGTAGAGTATGTTTAAAACTCTCTCTCCATTTAACAATATAATTACTTGGTAAATCGTTTTAATCTAATGTTTCTTATCCTTTTTCATTGCCCATAACAGTTTGGTAGTTGAAGAAATGGTGAAAATGTGTTAAATTGGGTTTTCAGATTATCTCTAGTTTATCTTTCTTCAGTGGCATGCTAGTTAATACATGAGGAGCTGTTTCTGTGTGCCGCTCCCTGTTCTTAGCTCTTCATAGCTGTTAACTCACTAAATCCTCCCAACAGCCCTGTGATGGAGAGCGTGGTTCTGACAAGAGGGGCTGTGGGTTGGGGGGGAAAGACCAGAGACACAACTGTTGTGAGATCAGATTCTGTTTCTAAGTACCCAGACAGAAACAGAGCTTTATTGGAGCTGAGCCAGCGCCTCAGGACAGGAGCATGTGCACATTTTTTAGTGTGCCTTTTCTTAGCACTTTGGGTTCCTGTGTGGGCATGTAGCTGTCCATGCCACAGCCTGTACAAATTTGGTCTCACCCAACAATGTGGAAAGCTCTTTTTTTGACTATGCCACTGTGCTTTTGTTTTTTTTAAAGACAGTCTGTCGCCCTGACTAGGGTGCACTGGTGTCATCATAGCTCACAGCAACCTCAAACTCCGGGCTCAAGCGATCCTCCTGCCTCAGCCTCCCGAGTAGCTGGGACTACAGACATGCACCACTGTGTGCAGCTAATTTTTCTGTTTTTAGCAGAGCCAGAGTCTCTCTCTTGCTCAGGCTAGTCTCGAACTCCTGAGCTCAAGCGATCCTCCCGCCTCGGCCTCCCAGAGTGCTAGGATTACAGCAGTGAGCCACTGTGCCCCACTGTGCTTTTTATATCGTATGTTACCACTTTGAATGAATTTATGCTAAAATCTATATGCTTTGTGAAATATTTACTGATAATAGTTTCTCCTGATGTTAAATCAGTCTCAACATCTACAAGCCTGTATCTTTATCCCAAAGAGAAAAAAACAGAATCAGAGCCCAGATGTTCTTAAGCTATGTAGTATCTCTGTCTTTTGCTTTCTGGAAAGCTTATATTCATTCCTACCGTTTACCTCCTGACTCTAATTTGGGGTCTGAGGATCATGATCACAAAGGCATTTCCTTGCAAGTTATTATCTTCACTTTATATATGGGACAGTTAAAGCACAAACAGATGAAGTAACTTATCCAGAGTCACAGGGTACATGAGTAATAGAATAGGAAATCACATATTGACAGTCTCCAGAAGCCGTTGTCATTATAGGCATTTTAGACCTATAGAATAATCTAATGAAGGTAGAATATGAGATACAAAGATTAACTAAAAAGCCAATTGATAAATTGAACTTTGTAAAAATACTCAATCCAAAAGAAGGGCAGGAAAGGAGAAATAGATTAACAACAAAGAAACAGAGGGAACAAGCCAAACAAATAATAAAATAATAGCTCTGAATTCATAAAATGACAAAATTGACTCATAAACACAGCAATTGAAAGGCAAAAATTATCAGAACAGATAAAAAAAATCAAGGCCCAACTATATGTTGTCTGCAAAGTACAATTTAAATTCATAAACAGGTTGAAAGTAAATGTATGGAAAAAATGGATGGACAATTCAAACAATAAGCATAAGAAGACGGGCTCCTGTGTTAACATATATATAAAATAGATTTCAAGGCAGGGTCATTTCATAATGGTAAGATAGTCAATTCATCAGAAAGACATAAAGTCATGTGTGTTCACTAATAATAGCTGTGAAGGATATAAAGCAAAAGTGGAAAGAGTTAAAGAGAAAAATAGTCTTCCCATAATCATGGTTGGAAGATTTTATTAGTACACCCCCCCTCTCTGTAATGGATGAAGCATCTAGGCAAAAAATAAGTAAAGAAATAGATGATCTGAACAACATTTATCAGCCACCTTGCCTCATATGTAGAGAACATGACACCCAATAACTGCATAATACACATTATTTTCAAGTGCACACAATATGTTCATTGAGATTTAAAACATGTTGGGCTGTAATAAAGTCTCAAATTTAAAAGTACTGAATGATAAACTACTCTCTGGCCAGAGTGAATTAAATTAAAAATCAGTAATCAGATATTTAAATCCAAACATTAACACATTTATAAATAATCCATGATTCAAAATAGAAATCACAAAGAGAATTAAAAATATTTCAAAATCAACAATAATGAAAGGACAGTATAAAGTTTGTGGGATGCAGCTAAAAACAGCTAATAAGGAGATTAATGGCTTTAAATGCTAATGAAATGTCTCAAATCAGTGATCTAAAGTTCCAATTTAGGAAGCTAGCAAAAGAAGATCAAAGTAAACCCAAGGTAGAAGGAAGGAAGTAATAAAGATAAAAACAGAAATCAGCAAAACAGAAAAATAGACTGTTAGAGAAAAGTAAAGCTAAAACTTGGTTTTCTAAAAAGATGGACAAAATTGATCAACCCCTTATGCCAGTATAGAATGGTCTTGATTCGTGTAGCTTTATAGTAGGTCTTGAAATCAGGTAGTGTAAATCCTCCAACTTTGTTCTTTTTCAAGATTGTTTTGAATATTTTAGGTCTTTTGTCCATATAAATAGACTCAGTTTCTCAGTGTCTTTTTTCCTTATTTTGGGGTTGTATTTCCCACTTCTTGGCATGCCTGGTGATTTTTGACTGGATGCCAGACATTGTGAATGGTGCTGAATATTTTTGTACTCCTGTAAATGTTCTTGAGCTTTATTCTGGGACCCAGTTAGGTTACCTGTAAACAGACTGATCCTTTTAGGCCTTGCTTTTTGACTTTGTTAGGCAGGACCGGTGCAGTATGTAGGCTAGGCCTGATTTTTCTCTGCTACTGAGGCAAGATCCTTCTGAGTACTGTGTCCAGCGCCACGTGAGTTACGAGATTTTCTCGTCTGGCTGATGGGAACAAGCACTGTTCTCCATCTTGTGTGAGCCTCAGTTGTTTTTCCCTCTAATCCTTCAGGTGGTTTTTCCTCACGTGAGTGTGCTAGTGAGCACTCTTCTGCATGCTCAAGGGTTCCCTGTGGCTCTCAGTTCTCTGTGCTGCTCTTTCCTTTCCGGTTCTCTTTCCTGGAAACTCCAGCCACCATGACTTAAGCCAACTCTCAGCTCTGCCTCTTCAACTGAGGGAGGTCACCAGACTCCCCCCAGGTCCCCTTGCCTATGCTTTGGAAACTCCTCAGACAGTAAGCTGGGGCAGTCCTAGGGCTCACCTCCTTTGTTTCATGTCTTCACGGGTCACTCTCATCATTATTACTTGATGTTCAGTGCCTTGAAACCTATCGTTTCATATATTTTGTCTGTTTTTATTTCAGTCATTTCAGGCAGGAGGTAAATTCAGTTCAATCCTGGTTACTCCATCTTGGCCGGAAGCGGAAGCCCTCTGTCTGCCATGTTGGCTTAGACCAGGCAGAGCCCACTTCTGGAAGCAGGCTGGGGCCAGACCCACCCAAACCTCCTGGCTGCCACACTGCAGGCCAGAGGGGGAACAGATGTTGCGGGAACCCACCGCAGTGCTCATCATAATCTTTTGTTCTTGGACGAAGTAATTTTTAGAAGCGATACATAAATATGTATAACCATTATATATCAACAATAAATCAATTAAAATGTACAACTATTGGGCCGGGCGTGGTGGCTCACGCCTGTAATCCTAGCTCTCTGGGAGGCCGAGGCGGGCGGATTGCTCAAGGTCAGGAGTTCAAAACCAGCCTGAGCAAGAGCGAGACCCCGTCTCTACTATAAATAGAAAGAAATTAATTGGCCAACTGATATTATATAAAAAAAATTAGCCGGGCATGGTGGCGCATGCCTGTAGTCCCAGCTACTCGGGAGGCTGAGGCAGAAGGATCGCTCGAGCCCAGGAGTTTGAGGTTGCTGTGAGCTAGGCTGACGCCACGGCACTCACTCTAGCCTGGACAACAAACCGAGACTCTGTCTCAAAAAAAAAAAAAAAAATACAACTATTATATATCAATAATAAATATGTAAACAAATATAAAAGAAGCAATCCACAGTCCATCCACAAATGATTAGTAAACTGTGTTACACACATAAAATGGAACCCCATGCAGTATGCAAAAGTGTGAGACAACTGTCTGTTGTCTGTGTCTGTACTGATAAAGTTCTCCAAGGGATATTGTTAAGTGAAAAAAGTAAGTTGCAGACTAATGTACACATATGCCTATTGGGTCACAGTAGGGTTGAGGGAGGAAGGTAAGAATCTATCTGATTCGTTCATCTATGCATGAAGAAACTGGAAGGATATATAGAAGAAACAGTTTCTTGTGGGGAGAATGAATAAGAACTAGGAAGATGGTGGACAGGGATGGGGAGCATTTACTGAATACCTTTTTAATACTTGTTGATTTTTGAACCACAGGAATATATCACCTATTTAAAAATAAATTCAAAAATAACAATTTTGAGGAATTCAGGGAGAGAGAAAATGTTTACAATAAAAACAAAATTTAAATAAATAAATATGTGCATACTGATTATTACAACTCCATAAAATATATATGCATTTGTACAAAGAATATAAAGACTAAAAAATAAGAATTTCTGTTCTAAATTGATGAAGTTTTATATATTCCAGTAGTTATAATAATGTTTGTAAAAATGTATTGAAAGGTAATTTTAAAAGTAAAAATACCTACCAATTATTGATAGGAATTAAACTTAAATATGTCTTCTTCTACCTCAGCAGAGGATGCTACCCTAGCATGTGAGCCCTGGACCCTAAACACACAGCCAGTTCCTTTGACCTCAGAAGAATTCAGAAGTGTAGGGCTCACAAAGGCTGTTCTATCAGCCCACACACAGAAGGAAGAACAGAATTACGTTGACAAATTCCGGGAAAAGATCCTGTCATCACCCTACAGCTCATATCTTCAGCAAGAAAGCAGAAGCAAAGCTAAATATTCATATGTTCAAGGTAAATAAATTTTTAAAAATATATACCATTAACACATGTCTGTAGCTATTACAAATCATGTGTCGGTACTGGGAGATTAGCAGTGGGCAACAGGAGTTTTACTTGTAAGAAACTGATTGACAGATGTTAAAATAAAGCTATTTATATAAACAATTTATCTAGGATATTTCTTTAGATCCTAGGTCTGAGAAACTGGTTTTTCTAAGAAACTGATTGAGAGATACTGAAATGAGTTTATTTTATAGCAACTCTTCTTGTCCAGAATTTTGTTCATTGTTTTGGACTACTTTTTGCCATTCTGGTATTATTGGCAAATGTGTATTCCTTTGTACTCTTGTAACTACCTATAAATAACATTATTCTCTTTTTCGGGTTTAATTTTCCATAATGTGCTTCCATGTTTATCCTTCCAGGAGATTCTACTTCCAGGCAGACAAGATCAGCTGGTTGCAAGAAAGGGAAGCACAAACGCAAGAAGCTGCCTGCGCCGTCCGGCAGCAGCAGCTATGAAGCTGGCTCCGGCTCCCGTGCCGGGGGTGCGCCTGGGCACACGCAGCCCTGGTGCCCTTCCACTGCCCCCTGTCCTCACGCCTCCAGCCTGGCACTCCCGTCTGCTGTGATGATTCCCAGCCAGGCCCCTTATCTCATCCCAGCTTTTCCCCTCCCAGCCACGGCCTCTCTGGGGAGAGAATGTGCAGCGTCAGGAACTGCCCTGGAGCGTCTGCCTGAGCCGCCGCCCTCCAGTGGCTTGCTGTCCCTTCCAGCATTCCCTTCTCCTTACTTGGACACTTTTATGACCATTTTCCTGCATGACATCCCCGTCTGTCCTCTCTTGTCATCAGCGCTCTTTCCACATCCATTCTTGGGAGCAGCAGGCTCTTTTGAAATCTCAGCAATGGCTCCAAACCTAGGGCCACCACCTGCAGTCACCAGCCCCAGGGGAGCCGAGGAAGAGTGGGAGACTCACAGTGGCGAACACCTGTTTATTAACTCAAGGAGTAGCTCACCATTGCAGCTGGACTTACTTCAGGAGGAGATGCCCAGGTCTTCTGAATTCTCAGACCACGTGAAACGAGATGTTTACCTAGAAGCTGAGCATGTAAGTGATGCTTATTTTCAACAGAGAGAGTCAGAAAGTGAGAAAGTAAACGTCTTATTAAAATGAAGGCAGTTGGCTTGGGGCTCAGCATTGACAGCCTGCATGAGTCCTCTGCACTGCTACCCTGTTGAGGCTGCAAGCCTTATTCTGAGTAAACACCTGGGTAAATACAAAATGTATCTATCTGACTCCACTTGAAAAACAGGAATGAAAGAATCTATGCTGTGGTTTCTTAGATACTTTGTGAGGTTTTTCCCAAAGTGCTCTCTTTCGGGTTTTCTATATGAACTGGGTTCCTATCTCCCTTTTAAAATTTGATATCTAGGAATTAAATTTAAGTATTTTCATTGCCTATAAAATAGATTTTCTTACTTACAACTGGGGTTGTGGTCTGGTAAGATGAGAGTAAGCCAGATTGGCAAGATATGAATGTAGTGATCGTGCTTTTTCGTGCATAGTTTGTAGGATAGCAGGTGTGTATGAAGAGGGTGTATGAAGAGGGTAGAGCCACTTAACGTTATCAGTAGAGCAAGGACTTTATAGTTTCACTATGACATGACTGAAACATGTCATTTTCAAAAACAAACACTTTTTCATCAGTTTCCATTAACTTAGCTTAAACTTTGGGCACTGACCATATTGTATTTAAATATAGAATCCAAGATGAGTGTGAACATTTACACAAGTTTTTGTTTGATCTGTCCTTCAAGGTGTAATACCCTTCTTTAACAGATGTTCAAAGTCTAATGATCCAAATCAAGAAAATATGTTCGCTTTTGAAAGCCTGGTATTAGTGCACTTGTTAAAATCCAAGGCTAGGCAGCCTTTCACAGTGAGCAAAGCCTGCGATCCAAATCCCAGCTCTCCCACCAGTTAGGTGGGTTAGTTTAAACGAGTTATTTAACCTTTTTTTGTTTGTTGTTTTTTCTCATTAGAAACATGGAAAGATTACTACTTCATAGCTTTTCCTGAGTACTAAATGATGTAGTATTTTTATAGTACTTCTCCCCTTGCAGTAGAAGCTCCAGGACAGCTGGAAGTTTATTTTGTTCATTGTTATATTCCTAGGGTTTGAAATAGGGCTCAGAACATATAAAATGTTAACTGTGTATTTGCTGAATGACAAATAAAATTAAAGCTCACGCTTGTATGATGCCTGGAATGTAGTAGGTGTTTGGAAAACAGTAGTACATCTAATATTATATAGAAAGGAACTTGGATCACATTCATGGGGGCAGGCTGAAAAGTTTTCACTTCTCGGTTATGTTTGTGAATTTTATTCTGTTTAACATGTGAAGTTGAAGATCTGCCCATTACAGTCGTCCCCTCGTGTCCGTGGAGGATGCTTCCCAAGACCCCCAGTGGATGCCTGAAACCATGGACAGTACGTGGATAGCACAGAACCCTATACACAGAATGTCTTTTCCTATACATACATGCTTGTGATAAGTTTAATTTATAAATTAAGCACAGTAAGAATTGAACAATAATAACAAAATAGAACATTTAGTATGCTAATTGTTCACAGTTTCACTGATAGGTTTGTTCTTACCAAAGATCCTAACAATCTCAACATCCACTTATTTTCTTTCCTTATTATGTCAAGAACTTTCCTATTTTCACTTAAATGAAGCACTTTATGGCTTCTTTTTGGCCTGTCCCAATTGCCAGCATCGCTTCTGTTGTGCTTTGGGGCCACTGTCAAGTAAAATCCGATTACTTGAACACAAGCACAGTGATACCAGGACAGCAGATCTGCTAAGGGACTAACGGGGGCATATACAGCGTAGAGACGCTGGACAAAGGGGTGATTCCCACGCCAGACTGGATGCAATAGGATAGCTCGAGATGGCATCACACTCCTCAGCACGGAGCACAATTTACAACTTACAAATTGTTTATTTCCAACTTTTTTATTTAATATTTTTGGAACAGAGTTGGCGGTGGGTAACTGAAACTGCAGAAAGCAAAACGATAGATAAAAGGGAATGATTGTATTTTGTAATTTGATGTTTGAGATGCTAAAATTAAAGTGTCTTTTCTTGTGTCGTTGCTTTCTAGCAATGTGTTATAGGCAAGAGTGGGAATAAGAATGGTCATTCAGCTGCCAGCGTGCTGTCCCCAGTGTTACTGTGCAAGGAGTCTCCACCTGGAGCCGGTTCTGCAGCGTCAGGTAGTGGGTTAGGATTACCAGTCTTCAAACTCTATTGCTCGGCGATCACTGTGTGATGCACTATCACTGTGTACACCAGGCACTGGAGTAGAAGTAAACTTTTTTTTTCCTTTTTGTAAGCTTTACTGGGGTAATTTACATACAGCAAAATTCACCAATTTTCGGTATTCAAAACAAGAATTCCGATAGATGTGTACCTTAGTGAAACCACCACTGCAGTCACCACGTAGAACATCCAGCATCACCCCAAAAAGTTATTTGACCCTTTGTGGTCAGTTCTTGCCCTGATCCTCTGGCTCCTGGCAGCCATTGATATTCTTTAGTTTTGCTTTTTCTATAATTTCTTATAAATTGAATCGAACGGTATGTAGTCTTTTGTCTTAGGTCTCTCTGAGTTAGCATAGTGCTGTTGAGATCCACCCCTGTTGTGTGTAGCAGCAGGTGGTTTCTTTTTGTTGCTGAACAGAATCACATTGTACGGACAGCCATTCCCCAGTTGTTGGTTATTGGGTGTCCATTTGGGGGTATTAGGAATAATGCTGTTATGAACATTTGAGTATGAGGCTTTTTGTGGATATATGGTTTCATTTCCCTTGGGTAAATACCTAGAAATGAAATTGCTAGGTTATGTGGTGAGTGTGTGATTAACTTTATTATTATAGAACCTGCCAAACCTTTTTCCAAAGTGCTTTTGTACCATTTTATTTCTGTTAGCTGTGTATGAGTTCCAATTTGACACATATCCTAGCCAATGCTGGGTCTTGTCCATCATTTTAATTTTAGCTATTCCAGTGGGTGTGTAATGATACCTCATTGTGGTTTTAATTTGCATTTGTTTATTGACTAATGATGTTGGGTATCTTTTCATGTACTTACTTGCCGTCCATGTGTTATCTTTGGTGGTATCTATTCAGATCTCTTGTACATTTTTTTAAATTTGATTTTTGATTTTCTTATTGTGTAGAAAGAGTTCTGTGTATATTCTAAATACAAATCCTGTATCAAATACTTGTTTTACAAAAATTTCCTCCCTATGTATGGCTTGCCTTTTCATTTTATTAACAATGTCTTTTGAAGAAAAAATTTTTTTTTATTTTGATGAAGTTCAACTTATTGATTTTTCTTTTATAGGTTATGCTTTTTGTGTTATTTTAAAGAAATCTTTGCCTAACCAAAAGTCACTAAGATTATGTTTTTTCTTGGAAGTTGTATAGGTTTAGCTTTTATAGCGTAGGTCCATGATCCATGTTAAGTTACTTTTTGTAGGCGGTGTGAGGTGAGGGTTGATATGGTTTCTTTGCATGTAAATATCCATTTGTTCTTGTCCTATTTGTTCAAAGGACTAATCTTTCTCCCATTGAATTACCCTGGCACCTTGTTGAAAATAAATTAGCCATGTATGTGTGGGTCTGTTTCCTGGCTCTCTTTTCTGTTACATTGATCTATGTGGCTAGGTTTAGGCTAATACCATACTCTTTTGAGTAATGTAGCTTTCAAATAGGACTTAAAATCTGATGAAGTGAGTCCTCCAACTGTATTCTTTTATAAATGGTTTTGAATATTCTAGTTCTTTTGTCCACATAAATTATGGAATCAGTTTCACAGTTGCTACAAAAAGTTTGCTAGTATTTTAATTGAAATTGTGTTGAGTCTATAGATCGGTTTGGGAAGGATTATCCTAGTGATACTGATTCCTCTGATGCATAAACATGGTATATTTGTCTATTCATGTAGGTCTTTAATTCTTCTCAATCTTGCTAAACTTTATTATTATTATAATAAACTTTATTATTTTTAATAAAATAAATAATATAATAAACTTTATTATTTTTAGTAGTTCTTTATAGATTCTGTAGGACTTTTCTACATAGTCTTATTGTCTGAAAATACAGTTTTACTTCTTCCTTTTCCACCTGTGTGTCTTTCTTTATTTGTCTTGCCTTATTGAATTGGCTAGGACCCCAGTGCAGTGTTGAATAGAAATAGCAAAACAGACATACTTGCCTTATTCACAGTCTTAAGGGGAAAGCAGTCAGAGTTTCACCATTAAGTATGTTAAATGTAAGTTTTCCTTGAATGTCCTTTATCAGACTGAGGAAGTTCCTTTCTATTGCAGGTTTACTGAGATGCTTTGTCTGCATATATTGAGATAATCCATTTGGTTTTTCTCCCTTATTCTATTAATATGGTGAATTATTATACATTAATTTTCAAATAATAAATTAACTTTGCCTTTGGTCATGCTATTTCATCCTTTTTACATATTGCTGGATTCTCTTCTTAATATTTTGTTGTGGATTATTATACCTGTTTTGCAGAATATTGGTCCATCACTTTCTTTTCCTATAGTGTCTTTGGTTTTGGTATCAGGGTAAGGCTGGCCTCAAAAAATGTGTTGAGAACTGAAAGAGTTTGTATTGCATTGGTATTTCTTCTTTATGTATTTGGTGGCATTCACCAGTGAATCTGTATGGGCCTGGAGTTTTCTCAGTGGGAAGGATTTGAACAACAAATTTTAATTCTTTAATACAGGTCTACTCAGGTTATCTGTTTCTTATTGAGTGATCTTTGGTAGTTTGTATCTTTTAAGGAATTTATCTATTTCAACTAATTTGTTGAGTTTATTGGCATGAAGTTTTTTATAATATTTCCTTATAGTTTTAATGTCTTAAGATCTATGGTAATGTCCCTTATCATTGCTGATATTAATAATATTTTCCTGATAAGCCTGACTATATGTTTATCAATTTTAATAACTTCTAAAAGGAGCAACATTTGGTTCCATTTGATTTTTTCCTATTTTTTTTTTTTTGGTTTTGTATTTTATCATTTTATGCTCTAATTATTATTGCTTCCTCTTTTTTGTTTACTTTGGATTTTATTACACTTGTTCTCGTTTCTTATGGTGGAAGCTTAGATCATTGATTTGGGACCTTCCCACCACCCCAATATAAAAATTTAATGCTCTAAGCACTGTTTTAGCTGTATCCCTCAAATTTTGATAGGTTGTGCTTTCATTTTTTTTAAGTCCAAAATATTTCTAATTTCCCTTGTTTTTTTCTTCTTTGATCCTTGGGTTATTTAGAAACGTATTTCCTAATATTTGGAGATTTTCCAGATATTTTTATTTTACTGATATCTAATTTAAATACAGTCAGAGGACATTTTTGTTTTTATTTTTAGTTTACTGAGACTTTGTATACTGGCCTGGAATTTAGTCTGTCTTGGTAACTGTTTTATGTGTGCTACAAAAGAATATGTGTTGCTGTTGTTGAGTCATTTGTTCTATAAATGTAAAAAATAGATTAAGGTTGGTAACATTAATCCAGCCTTCTACATGCTCACTGATTTTCTGTCTGTTTTATCATTTATTATTATAGGGCTCTTAAACATACAGCCTTAAAAGGTGAAAAATATCTATAAATAGTACAACCATATGTTGACTGGTTTATTTATAGACAAAATGTGGATTTTTATCTCAGTTCAACGAGTTTTTGCTTCACATATTTTGAAGCTCTTTTATTAAATGCATACACAGTTAAGACTATTATATGCTCTTGATAAATTGTTCCCTTTATCATGAAATATACCTTGCTTTGAAATCTACTTTGTCTGATATCAGTGTATCCAGTCCAACTTTATTTTGGTTTGTGTTTACATGGTATATTTTTTTCCATCCTTTTATTTTACTTATCTGTATCTTTGTATTTAAAGTAAGTTTCTTGTAACCAGCATATAGTTGGGTATTGTTTTTAATATGACAATCTCTGCCTTTTCATTGGAGTGCTTGCTTAGACCATTTAATGTGATTATTGATATGGTTAGGTTTAAATTAAATCTTCCATCTTGCTGTTTATTTTCTGTTTATCTCATCTGCCCTTTCTTCCTTTTGTTCCTCCTCTCCTCTTCCTTTTGGGTTAATTATATATATATATATTTTTTTTTTAATTTTGCCTTATTTTTAAAGTTGTTGCTCTAAGATTTACAGTTTATATCTTTCACTTATCACAGTTTGCCTTCAAATATTATGCCTAATATATCACTTTATGTATTAGAACCTTAAAACAGAGTACTTCCATTCTCAGGTTATATTTTGTGTTATTTTTGTCATACATTTTATCATGTGTAATAAACTCCACAATAACATTGTTGTTATTTTAAAGATATTTTTTGATGAGGAAATTTTTTTTTTTAGTATTTACCCATATACTTTTTAAAAAAATTATACACTTTTTTTGTAGGTGTTTTAATTTTTTGAAAGTTAGTGAGAAGGCTCTGGAAATGTCAGATGCAAGATAGGGAAGGAATGATCTGTAAGGCTCCATAGAAGCCAGAAAGGGTTGGGGCTTGGCATGAATGGCTTCTCTATTGTCATTGGAGGAAGGTGAGGAGGAAGGGCGTATATGATTAATCTTCTATGTTTGGTATCAGGAAGAAGATGAACTTGCTTTCAATGGCTTCTTTTTACCTTATAAAATAGATGAGACTGAGAGAGGAAGTAGAGAAGTTGAAAGTAGTCATTGATGAGGTAGTTTTAGTGCACTGACCAGAGAACTGTAGCAGGATTACTGGCATTTTGATGGTCCTTTTGAGGCTGGTGATGATATATTTTGTAGAAACAATGTACTTTGTTGTGTGACTTGCTCCATGTGTTTGAATATTTGGGTTTAGGTAAGAACAAAATCTATAATTGGCTTTATTGGAGTTGACATTTTGATAGTTGTGAAGAGTCAGAGGGAAAAAGAAGTCTAAGGTATTGCAATGTGTGTTATTGAATGATCAACTATGGGCTCTAAGCTGAATAATGAGGGAACTAAGAAAATACTAAGGCAGCATCACTAATTTGTAGTTGAAACAATTTGAACAAGACAATGAGAAGGTGATGCTGAGATGTTAAGTGGTTTTGGAGGTGGAACAGTTATGGGTGATGATAAAGCATATGGCCTTGAGAATAGATGGCTCATGTGGAGTGGAAGGAGATCTTGGGAAGACCAAGCAACTAGAAGGCTGTCCCCAGGGAGGATGAAATTACCTGGGATAAAGGCTGGGCTGGGTGGTGAGTAAGACTATCAACTAGTTGCCAAAGTCTTTGAAGAATGAGAGCCAGTTTGACAAATCACTCTCTGATAGGTATGTTCTAATTATTTGCTGTTGATTTTTGATAGGAAGCAGTGACAGCAGTAGTGATTATTCTTCTGAAATATCCCAAAATGGGCAGCAATCTCAGGATGCACAGAAAAAAGAAACATTTCCCAGTTTAGCTGAAGAGTCCATCTGGAGGATGATACAACAAACACCCGAGAGCATTCTAATGACGTATCAGGTACCTGAGAGGTAAGAAAGCACTTTAGAAGACCCACTTTTTATATTATGTGTGTTTTTTAATAAAATATTACTTTTAAATGTTTTATACACACCTTTAGAGAAATGTATTTCCAAATCCATTCATTTGAAGTCAAGTGACAAATGGTTTCTTAAAACAAGGATTATGGTGATAGTGCCACGTACATTTGGATCCAGGCTAAACGAAGGTCACACCTCATAAGACAGGAAAATAGAGGAGACTGCTTTCCAAGATGGTGCACTAGTACAAGGACTTTTTTTTAGACCTGGATTTTTTATTTCCCCATACTAAAAGGAAAGAACTAAGGGAAATCTCTTTCTTCTATATATCTCATTAAAACGTACAGATATTTTCTACCAAGCAAAAAAGATCTCCTTTACCAACTTGACAGATAAGTGATTCAGTTAGCTTTTTAATGTATAACTTATATATTAAGAAGAACTGTATAGTATATTACTAACCAAAAAGAAATGCTCTTCATAGATGTCATGGTAAGAACCCTGTGCCTTATTCAGGACTATTAAGGTTTTGTTTGTTTGTTTTCAGGGTTAAAGAAGAAGTACTAAAAGAAGACCTAGAAAAGCTAGAAAGCATGAGGCAGCAACAGCCCCATTTTTCTCAAGGGCAAAAGGAGGAGCTGGCCAAGGTGTATTCTTGGGTTCAAAGGCAGACTATCCCTCAAGAAATAGACACCCAAGTAAGCACAGTAATAAGAGCATCATATATTGACATATTTTATGCCAGGCAGTGGTCTTAATACAGGTAGTGTTCTCACATGATCTCACTGAAAATTTTAATTTTCACAGTTACTTCTGTGCTAGGTGTTATTATTCCTGCTTTATCGATGAGCAACAAAGTAAGGTATATAGATGTTAAATAATTGGTATAAGGCTATTCAGTTCATTTGATTTTGAATACAAGTCTTTCTGCCTCCAGGTGTTTTTTTTCTTCCACCAGTTGGAATGTTTTGAGGCAATGAAGACATGAAACTGTCCTAGTGGATGTAAAGAAAAAAAAAGAGTAAAGACACATGCTTTGGTGTATGATTGGGGAGGAGAAGTATAAGATATGCATCTCAAATATGTCTGTGTGTTTAAAAAGAATTAAAATTCAAAATGTAAGGTTTACACCAGAGGTGTTATTCATACCAAGCAGGAACTTTCGTGGAACCCAAGTGGTCTTTTTGCTGTAACGAGGTCTTCCCCAGTGAGATCATTTGCGAATAACCTGAACAGTAAAGTCTGATTTACCAGTTGTCCCACCAGCAGTGGTGGCCGCTGTAGCAATGGTAGTCATGGTTGTACTAGTCATGAGATCTTTATTCTCATTCCCACAGGTATTAAGATGTGTGAAGGTGAAGATTCAGGTTAAAAATTATAACAAGAGAATAAAGGTAGATGTTTGAAAAAGTATGATATTAAGGCTTATGAAGTAGGCAAGTATTGAAATCCTTTCCTTTGTTAAAATTTAATAAGACATTTTTATTATATAATATACATAACAAAATTTGTCTCCTTAACTATTTTTATATAACATTCACATGGTGTATCCATCACCACCATCCATCTCCTGAACTCTTCATCTTGCAAAACTGAAACTCTGTACCCAATTCCTCTCCCCTGCAGTCCCATGCCACCACCATTCTACTTTCTGTCATGAATTGGACTATTCTAGGTACCACATACAGGTAGAATCACGTACTATTTGGTTTTTTTTGTTGTTGTTACTGGCCCATTTATAGACATATAAATTTATAGACATTATAGTTTTTCCACGGACAGGGGGTGGGAGGGTGGGGTGTCGTGGGTAGGGTGTGGTACAGAGCTCAGGCGGTGATGCACAGCCCTTTTCCTAAGGGGCCACAGACTGCTAATGGGCCAGGGACCAGGAGTTGGGAACCACAGTTATTGAAAATCCCTTGTATATGACGACATACTTCTCTCTTGCTGCTCTTAAGATTCTGTTTGTCTTTAGCCTTGGACTATTTCATTATAATGTGTCTCAGTGTGGATCTGAGTCATCCTACTTGGAGTTGATTGAGTTTGATATTTATGTATATGTCTCTTATCAAATTTGGAAGTCTTTGGCTATTATTTCTTCAAATAATCTCTCTGCCTCTTTCTCTTTTTCTTTTCCTTCTGGGTCTCCCACCTGCTTACACTGGTCCACTTGATGGTACCTCCCATACCCCCAAGGCTCTGTTCACTTCTTCAGTCTTTTTTCTTTCCGTTTCTCAGACTTGACAATTTCAGTCGATTTGTCTTCATTCATGGATTCTTTCTTCTGCGTGCTCAAATCTGTCTTTGAATTACCTCTAGTGAATTTTTCATTTCAGTTTTGTACTTTTAGTTACAAAATTTCTTTTTGGTTTCTTTTTAAGTTTTCTGTCTCTTTATTGATATTTCCATTTTGTTCATACATGGTTTTCTTGACTTTTCTCCATGTCTTTCTTTAGTTCTTAGAGCATCTTTAGGGCAGTTGTTTTAAAGTCTTTGTCTAGCAAGTCTATCATCTGGTCTTTCTCAGGAAATGTTTCTGTTGGTTTATTTTTTTTTCCTTTGAATAGGCTACACTTTTCTGTTTCTTTGTATGCCTTGTGATTTTTTTGTTGTTGAAAACTAGACATTTGAATATAATAATTTAATAAGTCTAGAAATAATATTCTCCTTTTTCCCCCAGATTTGCTAATTTTTGTTTCTGTTTTTGCCTTTTTATTATTATTATAGGCTGTATCTTTGCTGGAGATTAGCAGGTATAGACTTAAAGTCTTCTCAGGTCTTTTAAAGTCTGCTCCTTTCCCTGGGCGTGCATGGTGATTCTCTAAATCCCCCCATATATATAGTTGCTTTTGAGCGTCCTAGACTTTAAATGTCTGGTTCTCAAAAGGCAAAAAAGAGAAAAATGATGGCGCGGAGGGAGACTGCTGGCTCTTTAAATCCCCTAGAAGTTGCTTCAGCTGGAGAGGAAGGAGCTAGTAACAGTGGGGGGAGGGGTTTCAACATCAGCCGCCACCTGTGTGTCTGTGCCTCCAAGATGAGAAGCAGTCAGCAGTCAAAACACAGATCCTCCATTTTTGGAAGACACGGTCCTTATTGCCCACCCTGACTCCCATAAGCTGTGTGCAAACTTCTCCAGGAACACATGCCTGCCCAGGGCTAGGGAATGGGTAGTTGCTGCTGTGCTACAAGCTGAAGCTGGCCAAAATCAAGCCACGATTCACCGTCTAAGCCTTCTCCTGGAAGTTGCAGGCCTTCAGATAGGCTCCAGAGTTCCAAAGAGTTACATCAGACTGATTCTGTCAGTGCACTTGTTCTCTAGGTGGGGAGACAAATTCCTAGTGTTCCTGCTCTGCCATCTTCTCAGAATTGGCTCCCCTGTCCACATTTTCAAAGAAAAGAATGAGTGTCTGCCATAAGAATGGTTAGATAGGGTCTCACCAAAAACCAGGAGCTGGACTGGTTACTATAAGTGTCTTTAATTTTTTTTTTTATTTCAGCATATTATGAGGGTACAAGTGTTAAGATTACATAAATTGCCCATGCCCTCCCTGCCCCCTTGAGTCAGAGCTTCAAGCGTGACCATCCCCCAAACGTTGCACATCTCACTCATTATGTTTGTATATACCCATCCCATCCCCCCGCCACCCGATAAATGTTTTTCCTATATGTCCACTTAGGTGTTGATCCATTAATACCAGTTTGCTTGTGAGTACATGTGGTGCTTGTTTTTCCATTCTTGAGATACTTCACTTAGTAGGATGGGTTCCAGCTATATCCAGGAAAATACAAGAGGTGCTATATCACCATTGTTTCTTAAAGCTGGGTAGTACTCCATGGTATACATATATCACATTTTATTAATCCACCCATGGACATTTGGGTCCTTTCCACAACTTTGAAATTATGATTGTGCTGCTGTAAACATTCAGTGCAGTGTCTTTTTCATAAAGTGACTTTTGATCTTTTGGGTAGATGCCCAGTAATGGAATTGCTGATCAAATGGTAGATCTATTTGTATCGTTTTATAGTATCTCCATGTTGCTTTCCACAGAAGTTGAACTAGTTTGCAGTCCCACCAGCAGTGTAAGAGTGTTCTATCTCTCTGCATCCCAACCAACATTTATGTTGGGACTTTTTGATAAAGGCGATTCTCACTGAAGTTATGATTCATTGTGTTTTGATTTTGCATTCCTGATGATTACAGGATGTTGAGGATTTTTATATGTTTTTGGCCATATTCTGTCTTCTTTGAGAGTTTCTGTTCATATCCCTTGCCGTTTTTGATAGAATTGTTTGATTTTTTCTGGCTGATTTTCCTGAGTTCTAAATAATTCTATTATCAGCCCTTTTTCGGATGTGTAGCTTGTGAAAATTCTCCCGTTCTGTGGTGTTCTTGTTGGTTCCTTGACAGTTTTTTGCGTGCAGAAGCTTTTAATTTTTCAGGTCCCATTTATTTATTTTTGTTGCTGCTGTGATTGCCTTTGGGTCTTCTCATAAATTCTTTGCCTAGGCCAATGTCTAAAAAGAGTATTTCCAGCGTTTTCTCTAGAATTGTAATAGTTCACACCTAATGTCAAGTCTGTTACCCAGTGTGAGTGATTTTTGTGAGAGTGAAAAGGTGTGTGTCCTGTTTCTGTCTAGTGTAGTGGCTATCCAGTTTTCCCAGCACCATTTATTGAAAAGGATTCTTTCCCCAGTGTATTTTTGTCCTGCTTTGCGAAATTAGTGGCTATATGAGGATGGTTTTATATCTGGGTTCTCTGTTCTGTTCCATCGGTCAATGTCCGTTGTCTTGTGCATCCAAGCTGTTTAATTACTAAGCCTTGTAGTATAGTTTGAAATCTGGTAAATTGATACCTCCTATTGTTTTTATTGCCTAGATTTGATTTGCAATACGGGTTTTCTCTGGTTACATACAAAGTGTAAAACTATTTTTTCTATATCTGTGAAAAATGATGATAGTATGTTAATAGGGATTGCATTGGCTCTGTAGGTCACTTTGGGTAGTATAGACATTTAACAATGTTGATCTGCCGACCCATGAGCATGGTATATTCTTCCACCTGTTTATATCCTCTGGTATTCTTTCTTCAGTGTTCATAGTTCTCCCTGTAAGGTCTTTTACCATCCTTATTTAATAATTCCAGGAACTTTATTCTTGTGCTATTTTGAAAGGAATTGAGTCTTTGATTTGGTTCTCACTTGTATTGTTTTTGGCGTATATGAATGCCTCTGATTTCTGTGTATTGATTTTGTATCCTGAGGCTTTTGCCATGAATGCCTCTGATTTCTGTGTATTGATTTTGTATCCTGAGGCTTTACCAAATTTGTTTATCAGTTCAAGGAGTCTCTTGGTTGAATCTTTGGGGTTTTCTAGGTATAATATCATGTCATCAGCAAAGAGTGAGAGTTTGATCTCTTCTGCTCCCATTTTTGGACGCCTTAATATCCACTCTCTTGTCTGATTGTGTAGCAAGGACTTCCATGCACTATGTTGATAGAAGTGAAGATAGTGG